TGGCCGTCTGGAACGCTCTTCTTTCCGATGTTATGAAGCCACTGGAGCTATGCAACCTTTAAATCATCTGGATTGGAAAACGAATTTCTTTAGAACTGCTTTTTGTCGTGTTTATTTTGTTGTCCTTCTCCCGCTCCTCCGATGAGCACGGTTGGCTACGTACGGTGCGAAAGAAGTTCAACGTACACATGTAACCTCGCTGATCTCGTCCAGGAGCATGATCCATCACGCAAACTCCGGTGGTCATCCTCGCAGCGGCAACGGCTTCTGGCTGCTAATCATCGAACAAGGACGGTGGTCAACGCATCGCGCGGCGCTTTCAGACGCGCTTTGGTGGCCGTCTGGAACGCTCTTCCTTTCCGAATATTAGGAAGCCACTGGACCTCATCATCCAGATTGACAAACTCATTTCTTTAGAATTGCTTCTTGTTGTGTTTAGTGTTCTTGTCCCCCCCCCCCCGCCGCACCTCCAGATGAACACGGTCGGCTATCTACGGTGCGAAAGAAGTTCAACGTGCATACAGACAAACAGACAGACAGACACGCGTACGCGCACTGACCTCTACAAGATGCCATGTTGACCTCCGATAAGCTGAGGCGACACAGGTGCGAAGATGGGGGAGGCCGCGGGGGCTGATGGAGGAAGCGGTGGCGGTCTCTGTGCAAACACGTCCGTGCCACGGCGTGTGAGCTGGCCTGGAGATAGGAGGCAGACGGGGGGGGGGGCAGGTTAAGCATCCTTCACCTTCCACGGCTTCACGTTCGCCCCCACAGCCCAGTTCAGTAAAATCAGTAGGAGACCCTCACATTGATCCGCCTGGAGACCACCTCCTTGAAAGAACTCCACTTTGTTTTTTTTGTTTTTTTAATCAGACGTGGTTGCCCGGATTGTTCTTCGTCGTTACACGAAAATCTTATTGGGGGCAACTCTCGTCTACAATAAAACAAAAAACCGCGTATGTTCTACTTCGTGTTGCCGCGTGGCTGCCGATGTAGACGCAGAGCAGCAGCTACAATGTCACGTTCAGGTGGTGAAGCCAGCACATAATGATGATGATGATGTTGATGGTGATGACGATGACTAAGATAGTGGTGGTGGTGGTGGTCGTGGTGATGATGAAAATTATGGTGGTGATTATAGTTCCATAGTTCCATTTATTTGGTATAGCCCTGTGAGCCATTCGGCTCTTGAATCGGGTGCAACCGCAACAAACAAAAAACAAAAACATGAACAAGAAAAACATCTTAAAGTGACTTTGTGTGACTGTGCAAACAGAAAATCCAGGAAAAAAACATCACAATATTCCTGAAATAGCACCGTACACCAACGCTGTGTGCAAAAATCCCAGTGGGATGCAAGTCAAACAACAACAACCACAAGACAACTAAGATTAAGGCGTCAGTCTAACTCCGTACTACAATAAACAAAAACATGGCCAAACCAAAAAAACGTTTTCGAAATCACCAAAATAAAAGCCATAAATGCAATGTAACAGTGATCATAGGGACTGTGACCGATTTTTTTTTACAATAAACTACATAAATAATTTATAACACCAAACCCTAGAGCCATATTTTAGGCCACTGAATAGCAGTGGCAGCTAGGGGTGTACAACTCCTCTAGAGCAGTTTTGAAAGAAGATCTCATAGGTAGCGATTCAAGTTGCAGTTTATTGGCAATAGCATTCCAGACCCTGGGGGCATCAATAGCAAAGGCCCTTGCTCCGGTTTTTGTACGGCAATAAGGAATGTGAAGCTGGTAAATGAGCGAAGACCTGAGGTCAAATTTGTTCTTTGAAACAGAGAGGAGATCCAGTAGGTAGTCAGCGGATTTTTTTGTAATTACATCGTGAATAAATAATATCTGGTGCACAAGCCGTTGAACATTAAGATATGTTAAGTTTGACCCAATGTAGAGATCACAGTGGGCAGTTCAATGCAAATCTTAAGGCCGAGTGATAGATGGAATCAAGCTTCTTCAGTACAGTACTTGGGGCTGATTTATACACGATGTCACAGTAGTCAAGTAGAGGCAGTATGGTAGCTTTTATCAATTCCAAACGGAACATTGGGGGGAAGCAGTGCTTGTGTCGATACAGAAAACCAATTTTGATGGTATTGATGGTGATGATGTTAGTGCTATTGATAGTGGTGATGGTGATGATGATGCTACTCCTGATGATAAAGGTGTTAATGGCTGATGTAGACGCAGAGCAGCAGCTACAATGTCACATTCAGGTGGTGAAGCCAGCAGGCAACCGCCGTCAGGAGCAGTTAGCGGAGTTAGCGGCATCATCATCATCATCGCTGTGATGTCTTCCTTCGTATTTGTGGATAGGGGCATTTCGTCGTTACACGTTGTTACGTTCTAGTTTCTGGATGACCACAATCGCCACACTACTAGTGGAGAATTTGAATTTTACATTTGTGTATCATCAGGCCTCCGCATCTACTGCTACTGCTGCTGCCATGGTTTGTGCAGCGAATGCGGTTTTAGGGTAGACCATGAACCTCGTGGAAGATCAAACGCAGCGATCTTCTATATTGTAAGCATATAAAATGGGATGACAGTCCATGGTAGAGGTTTTTTGGGGGGATTAGATAGCGTAAATAGATGAATGTGTCGTTAAACCCGCCACCACCCGACACGGCCAATTCGTAAGGTTTGTTCACGTAAATAAAACATACAACACCGTGATTAGTACAGCAAAACAGGCGTGTTGGAGAGTAAACCCACAACATTTACAGTATGTTCTTGGTTCTTTCGGTAAAGTCACGTAGAAGGGAAATAATAAAATTATAAAAAATACAAATAAAACGTAATAAAATAAAATTGAGAATTTTTAAATTGAGAATTTTATTTTATTATGTTTAATTTTTATTTTTTGAGAATTTTATTTTATTATGTTTTTATTTTATTTTATCATTTCCCTTCTACGTGACTTTACCGAAAGAACCAAGAAGATGAATCCCTGCAGTATACGAAAGCTTTTAATCGAAATTTACAGTTTGCGTTTACAACAATCCCGTGAATATTCTTGATCACCATAATCGTGAAGTGTGATTGATATCCACTGCTGGATGAAGCCCACTTCACACCCAAATCCTAATATCACAAACTTGTTCTTCGCTGTGTGTGTGTATATATTTTATTTTGTATCGGTCAACATCACTCACACAGTAATTGCCACGGTCTGATAAGCTGGACAATACAAAAAAAAACCTTGTTGCTGTGTATAGTCTTCCCCGGATTATAAGACGCACATTGCCTCTGCATTTTCAGGCAAGAGTCGGGGAGTGCGTCTTATAATCAGATTTTTGTTTTGTCTGTGTGTGTGGGGAACCACTTTGGGATGACTTTATTGATAGTGGCAACTCGTGAGGGATATGCGTCTTATAATCCGGTTTGTCTGTGTGTGTGTGGGACCAGGTTGGGATGACTTTATTGATAGTGGAAACTCGTGAGGGATATGCGTCTTATAATCCGGTTTGTCTGTGTGTGTGTGGGACCAGGTTGGGATGACTTTATTGATAGTGGAAACTCGTGAGGGATGTGCGTCTTATAATCCGGTTTGTCTGTGTGTGTGTGGGACCAGGTTGGGATGACTTTATTGATAGTGGAAACTCGTGAAGGATATGCGTCTTATAATCCGGTTTGTCTGTGCGTGTGGGGAACCACTTTGGGATGACTTTATTGATAGTGGCAACTCGTGAGGGATATGCGTCTTATAATCCGGTTTGTCTGTGTGTGTGGGACCAGGTTGGGATGACTTTATTGATAGTGGAAACTCGTGAGGGATGTGCGTCTTATAATCCGGTTTGTCTGTGTGTGTGTGGGACCAGGTTGGGATTACTTTATTTATAGTGGCAACTCGTGAGGGATGTGCGTCTTATAATCCGGTTTGTCTGTGTGTGTGAGGGACCAGGTTGGGATGACTTTATTGATAGTGGCAACTCGTGAGGGATATGCGTCTTATAATCCGGTTTGTCTGTGTGTGTGAGACCAGGTTGGGATTACTTTATTTATAGTGGCAACTCGTGAGGGATGTGCGTCTTATAATCCGGGTTGTCTGTGTGTGTGTGGGACCAGGTTGGGATGACTTTATTGATAGTGGAAACTCGTGAGGGATGTGCGTCTTATAATCCGGTTTGTATGTGTGTGTGTGGGACCAGGTTGGGATGATTTTATTGATAGTGGAAACTCGTGAGGGATATGCGTCTTATAATCCGGTTTGTCTGTGTGTGTGTGGGACCCGGTTTGGGATGACTTTATTGATAGTGGAAACTCGTGAGGGATGTGCGTCTTATAATCCGGTTTGTCTGTGTGTAGAACCAGGTTGGGATGACTTTATTGATAGTAGAAACTCATGATGGATATGCGTCTTATAATCCGGTTTGTTTGCGTGTGTGGGGGACCAGGTGGGGATGACTTTATTGATACTGGCTACTCGTGAGGGATATGCGTCTTATAATCCGGTTTGTTTGTGTGTCTGCGGGACCAGGTTGGGATAACCTCATTGATAGTGGCTACTCGTGAGGGATATGCGCCTTATAATCCGTTTTTTTTGTTTGTCTCTGTGTGTGTGGGACCAGGTTGGGCTAACTTGAACTGACACTGACTACTCGTCTGTTATATGCGTCTTATAACCCGGCGTGTTTCTCTTTTGTTTGGGACCATGATGGAATAACTTTTTTTATTGATACTGACTCCTCGTGAGGGATCTGCGTCTTATAATCCGGATATTCCGGTCAAAACTATTTGCTGCTGTAAGCAAGCGAATGCACCACGATGGATGGTTTGTCAAGGTCTGCCGTGCATTAATAAAACAATAACATTGATTTATAATATTCGTTGCATAGTCGTGTTCTGAATGATTTCTTTGGGAAGCTAAATGCGTAACTAGGGCCGCCTTGCGTTGCCCGGGTAACGCGCCTTAGCAACCAAGCCCGTCCCGTCTACAATTCCCACCGCGGATAGGCGAGGGCCGACTAGCCTACACCGCGCTCGAATGGTCGCAAGGGTGCACGTGGTCGGGCGAAGCCGCTCGCCCATTGGTTGGAGAGTCGGGTCGAGCGTATGCGCTCTATGGATTTAGCTACCATGGCGGAGCGAGGGCAGGGCGGGCCGCTAGTCTTATCGAGACGTTGGTGATGTTCGTAAAAAATATTTGTTTTGTTATTAACAAAAAATACGAGAATCAAAATGTGATATTAATGCTCGTATGTATCAAAAGACGACGAAGAGGGACGAAGCGTGCGCTGTCAAGGGCTCTCGACGGTTATAACGGGAGATAGCTGCACCGCGTTTACAGGTGAGGCGAAGCCTGCACCCGGCCTATGCGAGCCTTAGCGACAATGTTTATTCGTCTTAAAAAAAAACGTTCGGTTTATTGAACAAATGATTACTGACGGCTTATTGTTGTTACGTATTTTTATTGCCATTTGAGGGGTGGCGTCGCGGTTAGCGCATTGCGCTATGAACCCGCAGCCACCTCCCTTCAATTGCATTCGCGCGCCACATGCTGACATCTGTGGCCGGTGGTGTCTCGCACACCCGGTCTTAGGCACTCACCACCCTCACCCCCACCCCCCCCATCGGCACTCTGCATACCAAACAGCGTGACCAACGCGGTGAAGTATGGTTAAATATTAACCGACCCACGAGCGGGCCAAGGGCGTGGGCAAAGCCCCCCGTTCAGCGGTGGATTGACAAAGGGAAGGAATATATGGGGGGGGCGGGTGTGCTGTCCATTTTCGCAATGCGTTGTTCAAGTAAAGGAGGTCTTCGTTTCAATCGAGCCGATACTTATCGAATTGAGAGGACGCGAAAGCGATTGGGTTTGCAAATGAGTCTCGAATGAACGCACGTAAGAGACGTTTTAAGCTTGGTTTTAGTCATGTATTAGTGGTTAAGTTTTTTTGTCTTTATTTGAAGGTGTACAGTGGAGTAGTCGCGTCGCATTGCTTGCACCGTTCTAATTTAGCGTTGATCTATATGTCGTTGTCATGAAGCGCATCGTGACTGTAAATGAATGTTGCGATGTTATTCGTGACTTGATTTACGGATCGATTGAAGCATCGGTTTTGCTTTAGTTGGAACCTCGTCTCGGGCTGTCTCTCGCTCGCCCCCACTGTTTCACTCATCCGCCCGTCTCCGTCCCACGTGCTGTACGACAGAATCTCGGTGCAGTTATCTTCTGTCAAGCGTGTCTGTACTGACAGCCTACTCTCGATTGCCTGCCTCGTTCTGCCGCGTGTGTGTTCTGAACATCGCCCACAAGCGTCAGCCCAGAAGGCCTCCCCTCACTGGACGCCTGGGGAAAACGAGCTTAGTAGCTCATCGGATTCCGCAAGGATAAATGAAGATTCTGACTCTTAATGGCGATGGGGACGATGGGTTGCGTGAATCCTTAATGATTCATACGCCGTATTCGATGAGCTTTTAATCGCTAACATCCACGGTTATTAGCTAATGTGAGGGCGTCATTGGGGGTGACTCAACGCAGTCGAGACGCACGACACTCACGCGTGCTGACTTGGGGCGAGAGATTCTGACGGTCATAAAGTCACTGACAGCTACGCCCATCGACAGTGTAATAATGTAATGCACTATCCAGGATAATATATGAAGAAAAAACACACTTAATATTATGGGGGTTTTATGTTTGTCATTTCGTGATCGGAGTTGAGATCATCGGTTCACTTATTACCCCTGGACATGCTGTCAGCCCCTTATTAGTGCATACCTTATTGCAGACCAATTCAGACCTTATTGGTCACCCCGTTCCCTTATAAATGTCATCGTTCATCCTACAAAGTTCCATCACAAGGGACAAACACAAACAAATACACAACATTTTTTGCCCGGATCTAAACGGGCTGTACGCCGTATGGATCTGAAAACTTAAGTTCCCGGTACAAGAATACGGGTAAACCGTATGGGTTGACAGATATGCCTTAAGAACTCCGTTTAAACCACGGGCGGCTACCTACATTCTAAAGCCATCATCTCATCACCCCCGGCTCGGCGCTCCCGACTTCTTCTAGCGTATGGCAGGTACAGTGCGTGTAAATGATACGTCTCGCGTTTTAAGTTTGCGAACCACGCGATAGCTTCGGGAGTATCGCGACAAATACAGCGCAGTCCAGTCCGCCGGAGAGGGGGCGTAGTTGTTTGGCGTTAAGGTCCACTGCCTTGACCTCTGAGCCACCACCTCTTACGGGTGTTGAACTTAAATACGTGCGTTGGTGTTTGAACTAGACTTAAATAATGTACAGTACTCACGAAATAAGTAAAAGTGTATGTCCACACATGAACGTGGAATTGGTGCGCCTGATTAAAAAAAGATATTTTATTTGTCTGGAAGAGCCTCACAGCATCTCCAGAATACTTCACGAGGGTCCTGCGTTGATTGATTAGCACGGTTGGCTACGTAAGGTGCGAAAGAAGTTCAACATACATACACTGAGATCCATAATGGAAGTTTTTTGGGTTAGATCGCGTAAATATATACATTTGGCGTTAAACCCGCCACCACCCGACAGCCAACTAGTAAGGGTTGTCACGTAAACAGAACTTGCCAATTCGTCACTAGTACAGCACATGGGTGTGTTGGAGAGCCAAGCCACAACATTTACAATACTTGAGATGTTTGGCCAATTCCTATTTAAAATAAATCCAGCGTTTTGCTGCAGGTGCAAGGAAACTGTAGAATCTGTAGAATACCCACACTCATTGAGGGATAACACTGCCGCCTCCATTCCACCTCGCATCCTAGCAGGGTTGGGAGTCTCCCAAGACAATGATGGAAATTCCACGTTCCTTTTACGGGGTGATTCATATTTTTCACAGGAGATGTATTGTGATGCCTTGTGATTGATAAATGTGCATACGTGTCGTTTAATATGTTCTGAATTTGTATGTGCGTGTTTTCCATTAATATCGTGCGTATATTGAATTTACATAGAAACATTAAACGCACTGCTCTCCTCTATGCACTCTCCGTTCCAGCAACTAAGGCTTTATTTTGAAACCTCTCAACATTCACTCAGTGGAAGGTCGATCAATATCATCTGCTTCTCTTATTGCCTGGAACTCAGTACTCTTGATTCCCTGGTTAAGCCAAGGCCTAAAAAAACATTTTCTTTCCTACGACTGCCTCTGTAAAATAAATATGCCCACTTTGTCTGTACATTATCTTGAAATGCAGTTGCATTTAAATGCTGTACAAATTCAAGTTGTATCGCATTGAGTATTGCAGAGACCAACTGTTCATACAGCACCCATTAGTAGAGAAATAAACAGACCTCCGTGTGTCTCTGCACTTAATTTTTAAAAAATATTTTTAATCCCTTCAGCCCATGGTCAGTTGGGTGTGGTCAGCTTTGGAGATGTCAGTCATGTACAATGGAGATGATGTCAGGCGTGTATTGTTAATGTACAGTTGAAGATCGATTTATTTCACTCATCATTTCTAATAAGTGCCGTACTTTCTTTTACAGACTGTCGTTGCTCACCTGCCGTCGTCAGGCCACCAGCAGCGTGGCCTCAACCGACCCCACCACCGCCACTCTTTCCTGAACCTTTATCACTACCGCCACTACTGCCCAGTCTTTGCAACCACCACTGCCTCAGTCCCTTAACTCTGTCACAACCACCAGCATAACGCCACAACGACCACCACCTTTCCTCGCCCACGAGAATCTCCCATCACCTCACCTCAAGTGACCTTTCTCTCCACCACTGCTACCACCACCACCACCACCACATTTGCATTTCCTCTCTCACCACAACTACATCCCCTGTCCTTCCTTTTCCCAATACATCCATTCTCCTTCCGTTCTCCACCTTACGCCACCTCTCTTTTCCACCACTACCACCTCCGGTACCACCACCTCCCATCACTTCGACAACTTCTGTCTCTCACCTCAGTACCACCCTCCTCTACCAGCAGCAGCAGCACCACCACCACCGCCACTGTGATCTATCTTCTCCCTTGCCACCTCCTACCCTCCTCCCTCTCCACACTACCCGGCGGCCATGTCTCGCGCCAAGAGCGCCGAAACAGTGCGCGTGGTGGTGCGGTGCCGCCCGATGAACCCGCGTGAGTCGGCGGCATCGTACGAGAGCGTCATCACCATCGACGTGCGCGCCGGGCAAGTGGCGATCCGCAACCCGCGTGCCAACGCCGACCCAGCGCGCACGTTCACGTTCGACGCGGTGTACGGCGGCGATGCCAAGCAGCTGGACATCTATGAGGAGAGCTTCCGGCCGCTCGTCGACTCGGTGCTGTGCGGGTTCAATGGCACCATCTTCGCGTACGGACAGACGGGCACCGGCAAGACCTATACGATGGAGGGCGTGCGCTCCGACCCAGAGCGCCGCGGCGTCATCCCCAACTCCTTCGAGCACATCTTCACGCACATCTCCCGCTCGCAGAACCAACAGTACCTGGTACGTGAGAGAAGGGGCGCCAGTAACTACGGCGGTGGTGGTGGTGGTGAGAGGAAGGTGGTGGTGGTGGTGGCGGTGGGAGAGGGAACGTGGTGGTTGTTGCGGTAATGGTGGTGGAGGGGGATGGGTGGTGATGGCGGTGCCGAGAGGGAGGGCAGTATTTGGAGAAGGGAGGGTGGTAGAGGTAGTGATGGTGGTGGTGACAGATGGAAAGTGGTTGAGGAGGTTTTGATTGTTTACCTGGCGGTGGTGAAAAAAAGTTAAGCGATTTATCTATGCCAACGTTTCGGGCAAACCAATCTGTATCTAAGCTTGTCTGTCATCGTGGCTCTGTTAACCTGTCTGTGCGTCAGCCTACCAGTCTGAGAGTGCATGATGCTTAGCCCCACCCGCACTGGCACCTCCCCATGCTCCCCCGACAGGTGCGCGCCTCCTACCTGGAGATCTACCAGGAGGAGATCCGCGACCTACTCTCCCGCGACCAGTCACGGCGGCTGGAGCTGCGCGAGCGCCCCGACACGGGCATCCACGTCAAGGACCTGTCGTCCTTCGTGACGAAGAGCGCGCGGGAGATTGAGCACGTGATGGGCATCGGCAACCAGAACCGCTCGGTGGGCGCCACCAACATGAACGAGCACAGCTCGCGCTCGCACGCCATCTTTGTCATCACGGTGGAGTGCAGCGAGCTGGGGCGCCGACGGCGAGAGCCACATCCGCGTCGGCAAGCTGAACCTCGTCGACCTGCCGGCAGCGAACGGCAGGCGAAGACAGGGGCGCAGGGCGAGCGGCTCAAGGAGGCGACCAAGATCAACCTGTCCGCTGTCGGCGTTGGGCAACGTCATCGTCGGCGCTGGTGGACGGCAAGAGCACTCACGTGCCGTACCGAGACTCGAAGCTCACGCGCCTGCTGCAGGACTCGCTCGGCGGGCAACGCGCGCACCGTCATGGTGGCCAACGTGGGGCCCGCGTCGTACAACTACGATGAGTCGCTCACCACGCTGCGCTACGCCAACCGCGCCAAGAACATTCGCAGAACCGCCCACGGCGTCAACGAGGACCCCAAGGACGCGCTGCTGCGCGAGTTCCAGGAGGAGATCGCGAGACTCAAGGAGCAGCTCGAGAAGCGGGGGGACGTCGGAGGAGGAGGAGGAGTTGGCGTGGGTGGTGGCGGCGGAAAGAAGAAGAGGAGGGGAGGGAGGAAGAGACCCGGGGAAGGGCCCGATGATGGCGAGGAGGAGGATGACGATGATGATGAGGTGGCGGAGGTGAGGCCGGTGGCTTGCAGTGCGCGTGTTTTGCTATCGCTTTCCGCTTGAGGTGGTGGACGTTTGTTTCAAGGTGGCGCTTTTGAAAAAAACATTTAAAGTAAAAGTTTGTTCTCATCCTTGTATCTTTCTTTTATCCGTGCCCCCTGAGTTGACCTGCAGAAAATCCCGTACTTCCACAGCAGTGCTTCATATTTTTCCACAGGGTGGAAGGGGGTGCCACAGCAGTTAGTGGACTGAGCTACATATATGGTTACCTCAGTTTGATTCCTGGCCACCAAACTGCACCATCCAACGTGGTGAAGTATGGTTAAACAATCCCCACGATCGATAAGGCCTCTATTCAGTGCGATATATTGACAAAGGGCTCTATTGTAAAATTGTGATGTATATCACGACGAGCCAGTATAAGTTGTCCTTATCCTCAAGTCTCAACTCTCGCTCAGATGGCTCATATATTGAGATGTTTGTACAAAATCCATAAATACACGGGGATCACAAATCCTCACTGAAAGCACCGCAGTGCTCCGCAGTGTTTAACAGAAAAAAAAGTGTTTCTTACCTGTAAAAGTAACTTTTGTCTGCCTATGGACGCCTGTCCTTGTAACGCTTTTAACAAATTGTTGGGTTACGGTTCCAACAGAGTACACAGATACAACAAATTAAGCCCCCCCCCCCCCCCCAAGAAACTCGCTATTTGTTTTTGTCCTTGGTCAAAATCTAAACTAAGAAAATCACACTTTGTAAACAATGTACGCTGATCATAATGATAACTTTGAGCTCCAAAGCACGCATCTGCGCATGTGCCGACTCGCGGTTGCCCCTAGCAACGCAAACAAGCTTACTGAGTGGAGATGGGAGGGAGGTTTTCCTTGGCGTTAAAAATGACAAAAATAAAAAAACATAGTTACTGCTGCAGAAGAATACGCTGAGGTAAATCCTGAACAGCGTGATGTCCCCTTCTCCCCCCTCACCCCAATGTGTGCAGTTACTACTATAGTCCGTAGATACTACTGTATTGAGTTCAACCGAGTTGCAGACGTACTCTTTGGAGGCAACACATTTATTAACACCAACACACGGGGTAACTGCCCCTTAACAGAATAACAACCCATGGTGGTGACCACCAGGCTAACTACACTAATTACACCGTAACTAGCTACAATGGACCGGACCACAGCTTGGGTCCAGGTCCACTTTTTGGAGACTCTTGTAGGACGTAGAACGTAGATTCTTCAGGATGAACAACAGCGCCGGTCCCTCTGGGGGACCCGGCTTATATCCTCTGCGGCGTGGCTGGCTCCGCCCTTAGCCAGACCACCTTCTAGAATCCTCGAGCAGGATCTGGACCCTGACACGTGACCACCCCCAGCCCCCACTTGGGGCCCCTGTGTAGACTTAACTGGTCACGTGTCCTCTGGGGTCAACCAGAATGGCACGGCCATTAGTAACCCTATTTCCCTGGATGGCACTCCCACACCATATCCTGTATGAATCGGCACTGCACACCGAGCGTGGTGCCATCCAGCGCTTATCGATCAGCGCTCACCGAGCCCATCTAGGGCCGGTACTGCACCCACATCCAAGTGGCGTCCGCGATGACAATACATCGCACGCCGTGCCTCTCTCGGGCCAGCATTACGCAGTCACATCCCGCGATTTCACTACACTACTATAGAGTCAATAGATACTACTATAGATTCAGTAGATACTACTATAGTCAGTAGATACTACTATAGAGTCAGTAGTGCCTACTTTAGTTAGTAGATACTGCTATAGAGTCAGTAAATACTACTATAGACAGAGGTTCTTTGCAAGCCATCTGGCTACCATGAGAGATTCGTTCATGAGGCTATCCACATATACAAACACAGAGACAATTTCAACCGAGAAGATGGATTCTGGCTTAGCAATCATTGGACGGATTTGATGAACCATTTCGGGTCTTAATTGATTGATCACGCTTAAGGTGGCTTTCAGACCGCATCCATTATTTTTCGTCTCCCCCCTCCTCTTTTCCGAACATAGATGGACTAGTCCATCTGAACAAACTGTCAAATCGCTCTCCGTGGTGCTAACGTTAAAAATAACCGCCACTTTTTTCAAGTTTTCTTGTTTTGGTTTTCACACCTGATGATGATTGCTTGTGTTGCAGTCGAAACGTCGTGAGAATTTTATTGTTTTATATTTTTATTATTTTATTATTTCCCTTCTACGTGACTTTACCAAAAGAACCAAGTGTACATATATACTACTATAGTCGTTATATAGTACTGTGGAGTCAGTAGATACTATTTTAGAGTCACTAGATACTACTTATTTTTTTATGTAGGTTGGTGTGTAGGTATATATGCCTGCAAAATAAATAAAAATTGGGTGGGGGGGGGGTCAACAACATTTGGAAACCTTTTAAATCAAATTTTTACCCCCACTTTCTATAACTTTTTGATTCAGGACTTCTGACAGGCTCTTATAATTTTGTTGACGGACAAATGGACAAACGGAACGCCGGGCTTTCATAATAGTTGAGTATTTGTGTATGTATATGTTATGTTTTTTAAGAGAAGACAAGTTTTGAAATATATGTATTTTTCTGCTCGTCTTCAATCAAATTTAACCGTGGAAGAACCGCATTGTAGCGAAAACGCGTTATCGCCACGCGTTAAGCAGGCATTTGGCGTACTCAAGCGTCCATTCTCGCTGACCCCCTTGCCTAACCCGAGCGCTGCTCGCTGTCGCGTGCAAGGTGAGCGAGCAAGACGAGGAGCAGCGCCTGGTGGAGCGCCGCCAGCAGCTGGAGCGTGAGAGGCAGAGCATCCTGGACGACCAGAGCCTGCTGGCCGGGGAGCGCGAGCGACTCATCCGCGACACCGAGCTCAAGATGGACGACCTCAAGCACCAACAAGATGCGCGGGACTCACTCGCCACTAAGATCAAGGTGCCTCATCTTCGTCGATGTCATCATCATTGTAATCATCATCATTACCTTCCAGCCATTCTATATCCACCAGCTGGGTGCTATCACTGTCCCTCGGCCCAGTGCTGCACTCAGCTGTAGGTGTGAGATGAATGGTAGTTAATTCATCTTGATTTGAAGCTTTCGTGACTGCAGGAATCCATGCTCTTTGGTTCTTTCGGTAAAGTCACGTAGGTATAAAATAAAATACAATTTTATTTTATTTATGGTAGTTAATTATTTAATTGGGCAAGCCACTGAGCAACACTGCCCCCTGTTGGCAGACGAATACTTACTGGTCAGTGCTGCGTAAACCTTGCGCCTTTTAGGGACACCTGCCACCGGGGGCTGTGCCCTGCCACAGGACGCCTTTGGATATACTGAATGAGTAGTACGTTTATAAATATTAAGTGATGATGGTTGTCGGAGCACTGGGCCGGCACTGCTGGGAGTTCTGAGTTCAAGCCCTGGGTTTGGCTGTCTGTCTCAAAATCTCTCAAGGGAGTGGCTTCATAATGGTGTTGGTCACATGATGCACACGTGTCTGACGTGTGTCTGGTTATGTCTCTGTGTGTATGTGAGTGCCCGTTTGTGTAAGAATCTGTGTATAAGCTGATGTGCGTTATGGCCTCTATGGTTAAACGAGGGATCTCTGTGTGTGTGTGTGTGGGCACAGGCGATGGAGAGTAAGCTGCTGGTCGGCGGGAAGAACATTGTGGACCGGACAAATGAGCAGCAGAAGGTTTTGGAACAGCGCAGGCAGGAGAATAGCTGAGGCAGGTGGGTGCTGCGCTCGTGTCCAGTGGCAGTTCATCGCTCCAGTTTGAGGAGGCAACAAAGCCCACCTTGGGTTTCCCAGTCTCGGGGTGATGATGGGTCATGCAGGGGTGACGTGGTGGCGAGATATTAACTCCCTCGCCTGGTATGCAATGCAGGAAGTCGTGGGTTCGATCCGACCCTGTCGCCTGCTGTATATTTGGAGTTTGTATAATCTCCCTGTGGTCACGGGGATTTTTCTCCGGGTCTTCCGATTTATCTCTCCACGTTTAGAGTATTTGGCTACTATGAATTTCCGCGTGGACAAACCACTTTGTTGAGCTCTCATTTGTAGCCAGGTCGCTTCCTGAAAGAGATATAGTGAGGGAAAAAAGTATTTGATCCCCTGCTGATTTTGTACGTTTGCCCACTAACAAAGAAATGATCAGTCTATAATTTAATGGTAGGTTTATTTGAACAGTGAGAGACAGAATAACAAAAAAAATCCAGAAAAAACGCATGTCAAAAATGTTATAAATCGATTTGCATTTTATTGAGGGAAATAAGTATTTGACCCCCTCTCAATCAGAAATTATTTTAGCTCCCAGGTGTCTTTTATATAGGTAACGAGCTGAGATTAGGAGCACACTCTTGAAGGGAGTGCTTCTAATCTCAGCTTGTTACCTGTGTAAAAGACACGTGTCCACAGAAGCAATTATTCAATCAGATTCCAAACTCCCCACCATGGCCAAGACCAAAGAGCTCTCCAAGGATGTCAGGGACAAGATTGTAGACCTACACAAGCTGGAATGGGCTACAAGACCATTGCCAAGCAGCTTGGTGAGAAGGTGACAACAGTTGGTGCGATTATTCGCAAATGGAAGAAACACAAAAGAACTGTCAATCTCCTCGGCCTGGGGCTCCATGCTAGATCTCATCTCGTGGAGTTGCAATGATCATGAGAACGGTGAGGAATCAGCCCAGAACTACACAGGAGGATCTTGTCAATGATCTCAAGGTAGACTGGGGACCATAGTCACCAAGAAAACAATTGGTAACACACTACGCCGTGAGGACTGAAATCCTGCAGCGCCCGCAAGGTCCCCCTGTTCAAGACAGCACATATACATGCCCGTCTGAAGTTTGCCTAATGAACATCTGAATGATTCAGAGGACAACTGGGTGAAAGTGTTGTGGTCAGGCTGAGACCAAAATGGATCTCCTTTGGCATCAACTCAACTCGCCATGTTTGGAGGAGGAGGAATGCTGCTATGACCACAAGACACACCATCCCCACCGTTCAAACATGGAGGTGGAAACATTATGGCTTTGGGGGTGTTTTTCTGCTAAGGGGACAGGACAACTTCACCGCATCAAATGGACGATGGACGGGGCCATGTACCGTCAATCTTGGTGAGAACCTCCTTCCCTCAGCCAAGGCATTGAAATGGGTCATTGATGGGTATTCCAGCATGACAATGACCCAAAACACATGGCCAAGCAACAAAGGAGTGGCTCAAGAAGAAGCACATTATGGTCCTGGAGTGGCCTAGCCAGTCTACAGACCTTAATCCCATAGAAAATCTGTGGAGGGAGCTGAAGGTTCGAGTTGCCAAACGTCAGCCTCAAAACCTTAATGACTTGGAGAAGATCTGCAAAGAGGAGTGGACCAAAATCCCTCCTGAGATGTGTACAAACCTGGTGGCCAACTACAAGAAAAGTCTGACCTCTGTGATTTCCAACAAGGGGTTTTGCCACCAAGTACTAAGTCATGTTTTGCAGGGAGGGGGTCAAATACTTATTTCCCTCATTAAAATGGCAAATCAATTTATAACATTTTTGACATGCGTTTTTCTGGATTTTTTTGTTGTTATTCTGCCTCTCACTGTTCAAAATAAACCTACCATTAAAATTATAGACTGATCATTTCTTTGTCAGTGGGCAAACGTACAAAATCAGCAGGGGATCAAATAGTTTTTCCCTCACTGTATATAGCTCAGTGGGTCTTACCTGGTAATATAAATATAGTTTAGTTTTAGTTTATAATAATTTGAACTCACAGGCAACCTGTGGTGATGATGCTGAGCAAGAGCTGTGCTCCAACCAGACCAGCCCTGGAAAACTGCGTGTCCTGTCCACATACAGATGGCGTCAATGATGATGAAACCACTGCCAAAGCATACTAATTTCGTACACTCATACATCCACATTTGTGGATGTGACGATCATTTTGATATTATAATTTTTTCATTCCTATTGTGCCGCGTAAATTGTTCGCGTGAATCCTGCAGCCAGAAGTGGCTGCAGGATTCACGACATTGTTCAGAAATAAATTCTTGAATCAAAAACATGACCGTGGAATTGTGACACTCCATCGTAATACGAGGCGGGGGATCAGAGGAAATAGCCACGTGACAATTGTGTTAAATTGCTAAGCAAGTAACATTTATTTTAGTGTGACAGCGTCGTTTGCATTGCCATACAGGTTCACAGCTGCTTTGTTACGTTACACGGTTACAGCATACTGCTGTGTTGCAGCATGTGTTGCTTTACACGCGGCAGTGACGTCACCACGGCGCGTGTTGTGACGGCGGCTGTGTGGCTGTGCTACCTTGTGCCGCTCAGTCTCGGCGCGAGCGGGAAATCCAGCAGAAGATGGAGGCGCGTGACGAGGAGACGCTGGAGCTCCGGGAGACGTTTACCACGCTGCAGCAAGAGGTCGAGATGAAGACCAAGAAGTTAAAAAAGGTTGCCACCATCACAATTCTGTACAGGGTTCACCTTGATTAGAGTTTATCGGCACAGCATGGGCCCTGCCACTTGACGAGACAAATCGGTACACGTTCTACCTTTATTTGCGATCACCTGTGCCATATGTATGTATATAGGTACAGTGGTTCCTCGGTATACGTCGTTAATTCATTCCAGAAGGTAGGACTTATACCGAAAATGACGAATATACCAAACGAATCTTTCCCATAAGAAATAAAGGGAAAGGAAATAATCCGTTCCAGAGTATAAGAAATTTTATTTTATATGGCATAGTATACATTAATGGGGGTTGTATAACATAATGTAGACACTACTTATTACTAAAAATGCATACATACATTAAAACAAATGCATGTGAAAATTCACAGTTATAGCAAGGGTTGTGCACTGAACGAGATCTACAGGCAGACTGAGGAGCGGCGCTTTGTTTCAGTCGTGAACGGGGTCTACGTGGGTACGCGGTGACTCATCCCGACCCATACAAGTTCTAGCAAGCGCCTCGTATCACAAGCAAGACGTCGTACCCCAAGCAAGACGTCATATCACAAGACGTCATATCACAAGACGTTGTATCACAAGATGTCATATCACAAGACGTCGTACCCCAAGACGTCGTATCCCAAGACGTCGTATCCCAAGACGTCGTACCCCAAGACGTCGTAACCAAAGCAAGACGTCGTACCCCAAGCAAGACGTCGTACCCCAAGACGTCGTACCCCAAGACATCGTATCACAAGCAAGACGTCGTATCCCATGACATTTTTTTCTCGTCAAAACACGACGTAGACCAAATTCGACGTATTCCAAAGCGGTCGTATACTGAGGTATGACTATGTTAAAATTCATATGCACCGTACGTAGCCGACTGTAGTAATCGGAGGTGCGGGGCAAGGACAACGAGCAACAGGAAAAACTGTTGTAAAGAAATTAGTTTTCAATCGAAATTTGAAAGTTCATATTATAGACATAACAACCCTGTGAAGATTAGAGTTCATCATGCAGAGGGTGAATAGCAGTGCTACTTGACGTAAAAAAATCTGCACAGGCTGCGCCTGTGTTTGCAATCATCGACGCAGTTTAAATGCAACGACTCATACAAGCTTCACCTTGATTAGAATTAATCAGCATAGGAATGGATATCCCTACCATTTCACGTGACAAATCTGAACGTGATTCTTTCTGTACGCATGATCATCTGTGCAGTATAGCCAAAGCGAGTAAGTGAAGGTTTCACCTTGAATAAGAGCTCCTCAGGACACCATGGTTAACTCTGCCACTCCACACGCTGCCGCCACGCAGGCCTCGCACTTGTTGGGGATCGTCAATATCATTGCCACCCCCCCCCCCCCGCTTCTCTTCCCAGCTGTTTGCGAAGTTGCAGGCCATTAAGTCGGAGATCACCGACCTGCAGGATGAGCACAGCAAGGAGCGGCAGGAGCAGAGCAGTCTCAGAAACGAGTTCACGCGGGAACTTAAGCTCAAGTGGGTCTCATCATAGTCATCATCTCTTCACCTATTAAACTATTTTGAACTATTTTTCATTTTACAGGTAAGGCCCACTGAGCTATATTGCACTTTTTCAGAGCGACCTTGGCACATTATAGCTTATCATGTGGGTATGTATAGCAGCCAGAAAATCTACATGCATGTTTCTTAATGTGGAGGGAAAAACTAGAGGATCAGGAGGAAATCCACACGACCATGGGGAGAGAGACACGCAAAATCCAAATATACAGGCTTCAGGTTCGGGATCGATCCCACCACCTCCTGCATACCAGGCAAGGCAGTTAACATCTTGCCACCATGGCGGATCCCACGTGATCCATTCTTGTGATCCATTCGTGTGATCCATGAGATCCATCTCACCATCACTGTGTCTGTACTGCAACATCTGCTTCCCTTCCCTGTTTTCAGAGTTCAATGTTCAGATCCGTACGTTTTATTACTGTTTCGGCAGTAGAGTCATTATCCCTCCAGGATCCCTCCAGCGATGATAAAATTAACACCACTTTGTGGGGAAGTCAATATTGGTTGTTCTATGGATAGACTCGCCCCTGCCATCAGAGTGTGGAATTTTCACCGCTCGATGCTCATATGAGCAGGAGATCACTTTAATATTCCTTTAAAACTATATTCGTGAGATGATGGATGATGGTCAAGAATGATAACAGTGGCAGCCAAGGAATTAAATACGTTCAAGAGGACATCCACCATGAAAAAAGTCCGTATGCAGCTGCCGAATGGATTGTTGCATCGCATGATTGTGGACAGTGACGGTAGATTGGGAGGGCTGATTATTTTACTTAAGACTTTATTGTGAACAAAACAGATGGCAGCATCGCCCCCTCCTGGCAGGGTATACTATGTGCATATACGAAATGTATTCATTACAATTGTAGTAAGAGGAGAGAAGGGGAATCAATTCAATCGTTCGAGAGGGGTATTTGTTTTATGATAATTAACATTTTGCTTGTTTACCAAAGAAAGCCTCACTTGAGTCTCCAGACTTGTTCACGAGGGTCCTACCAAATTTTCGCAGTGGGGGGGGGGACCAGGGCATGTTGCAGTGTGTGCGATCCAAATTGCAGGTAACCTTTCAGCATTGGGAAGTTTTGGCCACACCAATTACATTGTGTGTGGTTTTAAAGCTATAAAAAGGGGAAACTAGCAGCCAAATACTGAAAACACATGTTGATTCTAAATATGGAGGATAAAACTGGAGGACCCGGAGAAAAATCAACGTGACCACGGGGAGAACATGCAAATTTCAACTATACAGGAGTCACGGTCGGGGTCGAAACTACAACCTCCTGCATTCCAGACAGGGTAGTTAACATCTTACCACTGTGGCAGACTTGCAAAGAGCTTCTTAGCTGAATGGGCTTTACTCGGAGAATAAACTTCCGAACTTTTGATTAGTAGCCCGAGTCAGGAATTGAGCCAAGGCTCTTTTTGCTGCGTGACACAGATGTTGCCTCTGCGAATCGTTACGTGACCGAGTTTCCTGCCGTGCCTCAGGTGTCTCATCATCGAGAACTTCATCCCCCCCGAGGAGAAGACGAAGCTGATGAAGAGGGTTTTCTTCGATGAGGATGAAGAGCAGTGGAAACTGCAGCCGCTGATTCGCTCGCAGGGGTGAGACACGCGCACAGGCAGCCACGCACACAAAGACAAAGATTCCCCGTATAGCCTTGACATAATGTAGAGGCAAGTGCTGTTAGCAAGCACCCTCGCGTGCCGGCACGTGAGGGTGGATGGCCAGTACCACACACGCCTTTGTCTCCGCAGTGGCGATGTTTACACATTGCACCCAGGACTCATTTGAGACGGAGTGGACCTAAGGGGAGACCCAGAACCTGTTTAGATAATCGTCACTGTTGTTGGTGACCGTGAGCGAGAATTGAACTCGGGTTGCCTGGTTTGTAGTGCAGCATGCGAACCACTGCGCCACACATACACACATGCATGCACATAGACACACGTTTGTCTTTGTTTATACGCGTATGGCAGACACTTGTATGCACGGTCCTCCTATGGCCTACACAAACACATGCAGCTACACACAGACACAATGATGGCAATGTGGTGGTAGTTGTTACGGTGGAGCTAATGGTAGTGGCTATAGCAATGGTGATGGTGGTGATATTGACGGCGATATGCTAATAGTGATGATGGTGGTGGTGTTGATGGTAATGTGATAATAGTGGTAATGGTGGTGGTGATGTTGACGGAAATGTGGTAATAGTGGTGATGGTGGTGTTGATGGTGGTGATGGTGATGATATGCGTACAGGGAGCAGCAGATGATGCAGCGGCCTGCGTCAGCCGTCGGATATAAGAGACCCATTTCCCAGCATGCCCTGGACTCATCAGTCGTCGTTCCAAACCCTCGTTACCGGGTATCTATGGCAACCGTGTGTATGTGTCTGATGTGTCTGTGCGGGGAGCGGTAGCATAGTGGTTTCGTGCACTGCACTACGAACCCTGCTGCCAGAGTTTGATTTCCAGTCATGGCCAACATCAGTGGTGATTATCTGAACCAGTCCTGCACCTCTTCTGGGTCGATTTGGCCTTAAATGAGTGCCTGATACAGTTGTGTGTGTCAACGTCAGCACTGGGGAGCCTCTGGGCGACAGTGCTTGGCTTAATTGATGCTTGCTATCAGCACTTGCTCGAACAGTCTGAGGCTGCATGGGGGATCTTTGTTGAGGCTTCGTGAGTGGTGTGGTTTTGTTTGCGGGGGAGTGGTGGCGCAGCAATTAGTGCACTGTACTGCGAACCCGGCTAATCGAGTTCGATTCCCGCTCACGGCCAACACCAGTGAAAATGATCTGAACTGGTTTTGGGCCACCTCTAGGTCAACTCGACCTCAAATGAGTACCTGGTGCGGTGTGTAAACATCCCCACTATGTAGACAAAGGCGGGCTGGTGTGGTGCTGGCCACCCCACCCACCCCATCGTGTGCCGTGCCACCCGTCATAGGTGCTCACTAACAGCACTTGCCCCTACAATCTGTTAAGGCTATACAGGGGATATTTGTCTTTGTTTGGTTGTCTGTGTGTAACGTGTAGGCCGGCTGACATAGAGCTGGCAACACAGCAGCCAGCAGTGCTAAATAATCAGCACTGTCCTGCAAGTGGACATTAGTCTGACAGTATCGTTATCGGTAAAGTTAGGCAAAATGTGGACCGTGATGCCACCATACACGGCCCGCACTCTTTTAGCGAAAATTGTTACGAGATCTTTAACATCCTCAGCAGAGACGGCGCGTAGTAGTACTTTACACGGCATAAATCAGGGTGGCCGTTGAGCTCTTTAAAAGACTGCTTCATGACGTTATTTATTAAGGGCCGCCGTCTCTTATTCGCTTGCATTGCGGGTCTTAAAATATCAAATTTTTGTTGTTACCGAATATTTAAAAAATGTCTCTTGTTACGCGGTTTGCGACCCCCTGCGCTAACGTCTACAACAAATAACCGTGAAAGCGCTTTCGCTCGGCCGTGTCACCAACCCCCGCCCGTCCCCGCTACCCCCGAGTGCCGCGATCCCTCGTTGCGCTGATATTGCCCGCCGCAGGCGGTGAACGTGGCGTCGCTGGAGCTGGACCCCCCCCACCGCACGACGCGCGACTACGAGGGCCCGGCGGTGGCGGCAAGCGTGCAAGCCGCGCTGGACGCCGCGCTGCTGCAGGAGGCCGACATCCACGTGGACGCCGACGCCTCATACGGCCTCGCCGACCTCGCCGGTGCAGCCACGGGCACCAGCGCCAGCGCTTCCTTGCGCAGGAGGGACCGGGCGAGGTGAGGCACCGGGCCCGGCGTGCCCAGCATGAGATGAATTGGACGTCCTGTGTGAGAATGATGCGAGGATCTGATTGGGACACCCTGCATTATGAGAGAGATGTGAGGCTCTTATTGAGACGCCCTGCGTGGGAAAGATGTGACGCTCGGATTGAGACGCCCTGCATGATGAGATGGATTGGCGCTCTATTTCAGACACCCTGAATGAGATGGATATAATGCTCTGAGATGCCCTGCATGAGATGGATATGATGCTCTGATTGTGATGCATGAGATGGATTTGAAAACCCTGTATAAGATAAATGCATAATAGATGATATGCACAAGCTGCTACAAAGACCGAACTGATACAGAACCCCCATGTCATCAGCTAGAGACGCCTTATCTCATCCCCTATTGAACCTCACTTCATCCGATACAGAAACCTCGCTCTCATTCGTCGTATTCTAGTCTTATTTCGGTGAACGTTTGCTACTTCTGGTCAATCGTGCAACTAAAACCGATCAACCGTCCAAATTACAGTTCAAAACGCCGCGTCAACGAATCACTTAACAAAACGCGCGCACGCCTCTCATCATCAACGACAGCTACTTCCCCGTTTTTTACTGCAAACTACGACCTGGCTATCAGTCGCTCGCTCACGCGCGCGCAACGAGGCGTTCATCATCTCTTACGGCTGTAATCGTTTTTTCTTACATTTTTCTTCACTTTTGTTTTTTTTTTTTAGGCCCAAAACGGCGAAGAAATCTCCGTCTCCGAGCGGCCATCCTCCCCCCTCGCAGCTTTACCCACAACCCCGGGGGCTCGTGCCCAAATAAGGGCGTGCGGTCAAGTTACGGGGTCAAGTACAGGCAGGGAGAGAATAGAAATTTGACGGACTGTTGTCGACCCAACGTGTCCGCTCGTGCAGCCGAGGGTCGCCTTTACTTTTAACTTTGCTTTCACGCTTCTGATTAAACGTGAACCGTGAAAAAGCTGTCAGGTGGCTGCGCGGGTGGCTCAGTTGGTCCATAATGGCTTTGTCGGGGCAGGGGGGAGGGGGTCACTGAGCCGACAATGCTGAGAGATCCTGGGATGCGTCTCTCTCAAGGGGTGAGTGATTTTGGTCCGTAACGGTCACATTTAGATTATTAAGCTCGCGATACAGAACATACGTAGAATCGTGTGCTTAAGAATCGATTTTACTTGAGTGCTTATGCGTTGTATGTAATGGGTTCGCATGACCCCCTGCAACCACTAGGGGTGATGCAATGCACCACAGTGTTAAAAGAAAAAAAAATGATTGTCAGGTTGAATTTGTGATCCTGAATTGTGACACTTAGCGGAATTTACATTGGGAGGTGGGGGTGAATTGTTACAACACAACACCCTATTGAGCTGGCACAATTGAGATCCTGGGTGTGTGTGTCTTGTTTCTAACGGGATTCATCATAATCAGAATATTGATACTGGAGGAATTCGATGAGCTATGAAGCCCTTTTTCACAGATATCAAGTAGGGGCATGGGGCAAGAACTTTAGAACAACCAACAATACAAAAATGGCCATGTCGGAGCCATTGAGTGGACCACCACTGACATTGCGAGTTCAAATCTGGGTTTCAGCCACCCATTATTACAGCACGTTCCTCGAGCGTTAACGAGTCGGACTCAAGCCAGTCCCCAACATACACAAAAAAAGAAAGCCCAGCCCAAGCCTTCGAGGGGTTAAAATTTGTAAATATTTCTGATGGTAGACACGAGGCTTCCCCAACCGTTGTACTCACAAACACGCCTACCACTACCATCGCCTAATCTTAGCCGGAAATCTGAGCATTTGTCTTTTTGAGTCTTTGGAAACACTTTTGTCCATTCCGTGCTGTCCACTATCATTTGTCGGATGGTCCTGGAAAGACTTGATAACCCACTCGAATATCATTGTTCAGAGAGTAGTTGAGCGGATTGAGTGAGTGGATGAATACGTTCATCGTGGGGAGAGGATACAATAAAAACGATCGGAAGTGGATTGTAAAGTGTTCCAAAGAAGCCAGCATGGGTTTCCATTATAAATATCTCCATGTGGGTTATAAATTTTCAATTTTTTACAGTTACATCCCTCATTTTAAGTAATCGTCTTTTTGATTAGGCAAGCGGAATGCCCTTAACATCAGTCATCTTTTGCAATAACTGGACGTCAGGGACAACAGCGTGTACTTCCTTTTGTACGTTGGATGGTAATGTTTCGAATGACACTGGCGTGCGCTGGTCTGCGCACGTGCGAGTAACGACATCACAGGGTCTTTCGCGATTCCTTATCATGGCAGCCGTCGCGCTGTGGTTATTAACGATTTCAGTCGCGCGGTAATATTGCACCGAGCAGCGGTCGCGGGCCTTCTGAAACTGAAACAGTGCTCCGTTTTTTTATACCGGGCCTACTTTTCCCTCACCAGCACTGCTGCTCCCCTGCTTTGCAGCAGCTCCAGAGCGATAGCTCTCCGATGCGTTTTCGGGTTTGCACCCGCGCCGTTGTTCAGCGTAACGTCCAACGGTTCACTCCATGTGCTGGGAGCTTCTGCAGGAACTCGATTCGGTTCCTAAACGGAAGGGATCTTCCCGACGAAGCTCGAAGCAGTTAGCTGAATTCGGTTCCCGAGGAAGATCGTAGCACGTGGAGGGGAACGTCGGACGTCGTGCCAGACAACGTACGATGTTGCGGCCAAAAATCGCTCCGGAGAGCTGTACAGCACAACTGCAAAAGCCTACGCTGTAGCAGTCCTTGAATTCCCTACTGCTGCCACCCTCTTGAACAGCTATCCCAGAATTCCCTACGAGTACCGTCGAGTGCCCTCTAACCCAACTGGCTACCATCCGATTTTCCTGGCTGCTCTAAAGTGGCACGGGGAAAATGTTTTTCATATTCAGGTCGACAAAAGTCGCAAATGTTTTGTAATGCCTATTTCGTGGTAAAGGCTGTGCCACACTAGGTTTTGCTGGTACCAAAATTGTCCCAAATCTTTGCCCCCATTAGCCGTGATTGTTAATGTCTTCGTGCATCTCTTTAAAAAAAAACAGGCAAACGACTTAGCTGCTGCATTGTAAAGCGATAATCGATTTAACCACTGCCAGGTGGTAGTGGTACAGCTTGCTGAATTTTTGCGTTACTGGCACAGAGAGTTCAGTCCTCACAATCTATTACGCGGCGCCAGTAGTAGCAACTCGTAATCCCATCTTAGCGAGCTGGCTGGATGGTTCACAGGGCTTATATTGGCCATCTCAGTGCACTGAGCGAGCACCGCTAAGTTCCTTGGTTTGAGATTAAGCCTACGTTTGTGCAGAGCAAGACTGGGGCTCTCGACTAATTATTCCACAAAAATAAACTGTCATGCAAATGTAGCATGGAAGAGTAGGCCAATTACCCACGGGGGGGGGGGGCTCTAGCCCTCTCGTGGAGGCCCATCTGCCAGCAGTGGCGTGAGCAAAGCAATTCTACGGCTTCTCCTTTACCGTACGCGTGCACACAGCTTTTTCACTTAATTCATTCCAGCTGATAATTGAGGGCTGAAATGTGCAAATATATGGGAAGAGTGACACACGGTCATGCGCTGTTTACAGATCGTAAAGGTGCGCCGACTAGTGAATAAGAGAGGCTTCTGCGCGATGTGACGCCTTTTGAAGTGGCTAGGTAGTGTCAACTTTCGGGGCCCATTCCCTTAGGGGCAGTGTTCTTCACTAATTTTCGGAGCGGGGGTGGGCCCAGAGATAAGTCTGAGGGCCACCACAGCACCTGTAAGGGGTGTTTTCAAATTAGTGTATTTGTCGGGGGGGGGGGGGGGGGGGGTGGGGGAGGTGCGGGCGCACGTCAGGGGCTGCACTAGAGGCCGGCTGAGGCAGCCAGTGTTCCGCGTGCTTTGCAATGAAGAACACTGCCTTAGGTGATGACACGAAGATTTTGCCGCCTGTAAGAGTCGCCAGAATGGGGGGGGGGGGGGGGGCGGGTGTTTGCCACATACCTCAACTGTCGACAGCGCGATTGGGATGTAATTGGTTGGAAAAAAAATCTATATCTGAAGTTAAATGAGCTATAGTGATTGGACAGGTTAGGTTTACCAAAAAAGAATTAGCCCTTAGATTTATGTAGCCGAGAATCCAATTTATGAAAACAGAGTGATTTACCCGTACGGTATATAGCACCTATATCATCCGATACAAAACCTTCGTCTCATCCGATACAGAACTCTTGTCTCGGCTGATAAAGAACCCTCGTGTCAATCGACACAGAACCCTCCTTTAAAAAAAAAGGCTGCCTTAGTTTGGCTCGTGCATTGTCTGCCAATTCTGCTTAATGTACAGTTACATAACTCAAAAAATCTTAAGAGAACGCACTATATTAAATAACACTAAAGATTATACACCACTGTTACGGCGACCAGTTTACAATTTAATGTCGCCTCTTATCCAACTTTAGTCAAATAAGGCTTAGCTTATTTGATTCGGTATAATACACGTGCAAATATATATATTAATCATACGCAGTGGGTGGGTTTGTAAGGCTGTTACTCCGATTAGCACGGTTGGCTACATACGGTGCGAAAGAAGGTCACCGTACTTAACATACATTGCGTAAGGCGTCACTAACCTTTACTTCAGCACGGCTTACTTTACAAACGTTATAAGGGTAACATTTGTGGCCATAAATATACAAATGGATGCCCTTTCTGCCAGCAGTGGTGTGAGCAGGCAAGCTGTTGCAGGGCTAACACTTTATAAACTTAACGCCACTAGCAGATTTGCTCTTGGAATTTCATACCCTCTGTTTCCACCTAAATATTTATTAAAAAATGAATACACTTGCGTTGGTGTTGTGAGGGGTCGTGTAAGAAATTGGGTTGTATTAATGGTTAAAGTAACAAAAATACAGTTTTAATCGATTAATTTAGAGCCGGTTATATTTATTGAGAGTGTTTTCTGTTGATTTTTGTAATGTGCGTCAGCATGTTTGTGACAGATTCCGGATTGACGTATATATATTTTTGTAGATTCACGTTTGGGAAATGCACGCTGCTACTGATCTATTAATTGGCAAATAAACGGATGTTTTTGTTTTGCCTTAATTACCGTGTGTGTGTCTGTGTCTCATTGTAACACCACATGTCACAGTAATACGTATTTGCCAAAGACCATTAAAACCATTCTCTACCCACTTACTAGCAAACAAAAATATATATACGATAGGCAACGTTTGGGGCAATGGCTCTTCATGATAGTAGATAAATAGAGAAACCAGATAGATACGAGTTGAAGACTGCACTTCACACCATGGGGCCTGATACTAATTAAAAAAAAATCCATTTTTTAAATTGGCATATGAACAGTTACCGAATCGTAATAGCCATCTTCCCGCTTATGAAAGCCTGGGTTGCCGTGGTCACACAGTGATGAGTGCCACTGCTACCATCTGTAGCAAATTATATCTACGATTAATAAGTATCACTGCAAGACGCCTCTGCAGAGTGGGAAATCCTGGCCGGAGGTGATTAAAGATTTGTTGAAGTGGCTCCACGTTTCAGAGGGGCCAAATACTGGCGCGTAGCTTTCTGTCCTTCGCCAGGAGCTGAGACCCTCTGAATACATGGCTAGAAGATGGTCTGTTTTACCATCTTTTCACACCTTATCACCGTTTTTCACTGCAGAGGCGTCTTGCAGTGTGACATTCCTCGTGTTCTTCTGGTTGATGAACGAATATGTTAATAAGGTCGCACCCATTACATCCAAAATGCTTGCTAGAAATAAACCACAACACTTCGCTGATCTCTTCAAGAAGCATAAACCATCACGCAAACTCTAGTCATCCTCGCAGCGGCTTTGGCTAACCATCGAGTAAAGACAGTCACAGCATCCTGCACTTTCAGATGTGCTTCTGCGGCCGTCTGGAACGCTCTTCCGACATTAGGAAACCACTGGAGATATGCACTTTCGAATCATCATCCAGATTGAAAACTCATGTCGTTTGAGCTGCCTTTTGTGTTTAGTTTATTGTCCTCCCGCATCTCCACTTAGCACGGTTGGCTACGTACCGTGCGAAAGAAGTTCAACATACATTTGCAGTGTCAGCGATTCGGAGACAAGGGTTTCCAGGAGGCACCTGCTTTATTCAACACCTTCACACTTCACAGGTTCACTCTCCTTGGTTGTCTCACCTAGCCTAACAACCCTGATCGTGTAACACTGATGGCGCTGACCGAGACAGCGCAATATCTCGCGAAGACGTCAGCGACGAAGGCGGAAGGGCGACAACGAGACGAGTCCACTCCCCAAACCGGCAGCCCTGAGCTCCCACTCTCAGCTCCTTTTATGCTCAGTCCTGGCTGCGCCTCTTTTCGAACCCACTAGCAGGTTCCAGGAGCGTCCAGATGGGGTCTTCCATGACCCTTGCCCCAGTTCCTCCACCCTGCCGACATACCGTGTACAGTGAGGGAAAAAAGTATTTGATCCCCTGCTGATTTTGTACGTTTGCCCACTGACAAAGAAATGATCAGTCTATAATTTTAATGGTAGGTTTATTTGAACAGTGAGAGACAATAACAATAACAAAATCCAGAAAAACGCATGTTAAAAATGTTATAAATCGATTTGCATTATAATGATGGAAATAAGCATTTGACCCCTCTGCAAAACATGACTTAGTACTTGGTGGCAAAACCCTTGTTGGCAATCACAGAGGTCAGACGTTTCTTGTAGTTGGCCACCAGGTTTGCACACATCTCAGGAGGGATTTTGTCCCACTCCTCTTTCCAGATCTTCTCCAAGTCATTAAGGTTTCGAGGCTGACGTTTGGCAACTCGAACCTTCAGCTCCCTCCACAGACTTTCTATGGGATTAAGGTCTGGAGACTGGCTAGGCCACTCCAGGGCCTTAATGTGCTTCTTCTTGAGCCACTCCTTTGTTGCCTTGGCCGTGTGTTTTGGGTCATTGTCATGCTGGAATACCCATCCACGACCCATTTTCAATGCCCTGGCTGAGGGAAGGAGGTTCTCACCCAAGATTTGACGATACATGGCCCCGTCCATCGTTCCTTTAATGCGGTGAAGATGTCCTGTCCCCTTAGCAGAAAAACACCCCCAAATCATAATGTTTCCACCTCCATGTTTGACGGTGGGGATGGTGTTTTTGGGGCCATAGGCAGCATTCCTCCTCCTCCAAACACGGCGAGTTGAGTCGATGCCAAAAAGCTCCATTTTGGTCTCATCTGACCACAACACTTTCACCCAGTTGTCCTCTGAATTATTCAGATGTTCATTGGCAAACCTCAGGCGGGCATGTATATGTGCTTTCTTGAGCAGGGGGACCTTGTGGGCGCTGCAGGATTTCAGTCCTTCACGGCGTAGTGTGTTACCAATTGTTTTCTCGGTGACTATGGTCCCAGCTGCCTTGAGATCATTGACAAGATCCTCCCGTGTAGTTCTGGGCTGATTCTTCACCGTTATCATGATCATTGCAACTCCACGAGGTGAGATCTTGCATGGAGCCCCAGGCCGAGGGAGATTGACAGTTGTTTTGTGTTTCTTCCATTTGTGAATAAGCGCACCAACTGTTGTCACCTTCTCACCAACCTGCTTGGCAATGGTCTTGTAGCCCATTCCAGCCTTGTGTAGGTCTACAATCTTGTCCCTGACATCCTTGGAGAGCTCTTTGGTCTTGGCCATGGTGGAGAGTTTGGAATCTGATTGATTGATTGATTGCTTCTGTGGACAGGTGCCTTGTATGCAGGTAACAAGCTGAGATGAGGAGCACTCCCTTTAAGAGTCTGCTCATAATCTCAGCTCGTTACCTGTATAAAAGACACCTGGGAGCCAGAAATCTTTCTGATTGAGAGGGGGTAAAATACTTATTTTCCTCATTAAAATGCAAATCAATTTATACAATTTTTGACATGCGTTTTTCTGGATTTTGTTGTTGTTATTCTGTCTCTCACTGTTCAAATAAACCTACCATTAAAATTATAGACTGATGTGTGTACTGTTTGTCCACCGCAGTTTCCGCTGCTGGGCACCAGCCGGCGCTATTACACTACATCGACACAGTGACATTGCTATCCTACATCTTTGTGATCTGGAGGTAAAATGGTCCAGGAATATAATCTTTCGCTTATGCCACTCTGGGTGGTACCGATCAAACATTGGGCCAATTGGCTCAAGGACCAATATTACAAATACTTCCTACCCATGGAACAACATTTGGAAAAGGAAATATAATTTAAAAATATATATGTATATTATTTGGGTATAAGTAATTGGCTTGTGTGACTGAATGCCGGGGTACGTTTGTATATGTTAATTTCCTCCAATGCAAGTGGCCAAATGTTGTGACAGAGTTGCCATTGTGTCCACTTGGGTCCGATTAGCACAGTTGGCTGCGTACGGTGTGAAAGAAGTTCAAAATACATACAGTAGTCCTTACAGCTAATCTATGGGTATGGAAATTCTGTCCTCGATACAGGAAACTTGGAGCGACGATCTCTGGTGTTTAGGAATCGGTGTTGGCGTTGGAACTAACTACAAGGGTAATGTTCGGTATATGAATCATGCAAATGAGACATTGGTGATGGTGGTGCTGCGGTGGCGAGGTGTTAACTACCTCGACTGGTATACAAGAGTGTGTGGGTTCGATCCCGACCCTGTCGCCTGTACATTTGGAGTTTGCAAGTCCTTCCCTATCGTCGCGTGGATTTTTCTCGGGGTCTTCTGGTTTTCCCCTCCACATGTAGAAACATGCATTTAGAGTGTTTGGCTGATATAAATTTACACATAATAAACCACTTCGTTGAGCTATCATTTGTGACCGGGTGACAATCTAGAGATACGGAAATTATATCCGCGATACAGGAAGTCTGGAGCAATAATCTCCGGCAGTAGCGTAACTCGCGTGGGGGCAGTGGGTGGCTTGCACCCCCCCCCCCCCCCCCCCTTAACAACCACCATGAGATACGTTTTCAACAACGGTGTAAAAGAACAACAACACTTATTTTGCGAAGACGGAGTGCCCCTGCAGCGTTAAATGTTCGAGACCGTGAGCGTAACGATGATGCGATGAGGCAAGATGAGCTGCGATGTACAATAGCCTCGGTGCGACCGTGCGAGACGAATCAAATATTGGGGCCCTACCTGCAGTGCCGGATTAATTGTATTTTTTTCAACTTGCTACACAGCCAGATAATACGACAAATCGCTGACCTTAAACACACCCAGTCGTTCACGAAAGTTGAAGGCGGTGTAGTACTATAGTAATCGAGCAAGTGCAGAATCACTGAACCGGAATTGATAGCTTGACAGCGTTTAGCGCGGGGCCCTTGAAAGTGCGGGGCCTGTAGCATAGGGAGCTACTTTTGCAACGAGGATAATCCGGCACTGCCTACTTGACCGATTGGCGCACCCTCTGAGCCGGTAATGTTGTTACTACGACCACTGATCTCCGGTGTTTAGTAACGGCAGCTGAGCGTACTATCGTTGGTGACGTGCGCGATTTGCAGGCGTCACGCTATGCGCTCAACCGAGACGCGAGTGAGTTGCTCCACCGATCTGGCGTCATCGACACGACGAAACGTAATGGGGGTCAATTGAATGGGCAACAATGAAGCAAAAATGAAAACCAGAGCAAGGGGCCAACCAAGTAGTACTGAAGAAATCGGTGCAAAATCGAGCGGATACAATTTGCAAGAGAAACAATCAAAATAAGCATCGGAGCGAAATCAAACAAGAACAGGACAGTGCATACATTCGTGGGGGTATAGCAAAAACGCTGGTCACCTCACCCTTGACCGAGTGGCTCATGCCTGAGCGTGATCTGTGATGAGTCTTCGGAGGCTTCCAGATCAGGTCATGGTATCGCGTATTACCTCCACCACACTGCTGAAGTTTGCCTGGGGTCAAGGGCCCAACAAATCATTTGAACCCTACTCTCAGTTGCTCTTTGAGTTGCAGTAAATTAACGATCATACCGATTCGATGTACTAATGTCTGACATGGCTATTGTTCACAATTGCACCCAATGAAACATAAAGCACGTTTTCTTTGGTTCTTTCGGTAAAGTCACGTAGGTAGAAAAATAAAATACAAATTAATATATCGCGACGTTTCGACCGCTTGTTTTGCGATCGAAACGTCGTGATATTTTATTTTATTTTTCTACCTACCACGTGACTTTGCCGAAATAACCAAAAAGTATGGATTCCAGCAGTCAGGAAAGCTTCAAATCAAGAGAGCACGTTTTGTTTGCTTGTGTTATCACAAGCGTAAGGTGTGGCTCATGCAGACTCGATTATGCTTTCTGGTAACATGTGTCTATTTGGTGTTTCAACATTTTAACACCTGGATTTATTTGATTATTACTGGAAAGTGTTAAAGCCTCTTCTTTTTTTCATCAGCGTGGATTTTTTTCTTTTTTTTACGCATTTGCCGAGCGCAAGTGCCTTATGGCCTAGAACGTCAAACGGCCAGCAACAAACAGCACTGCTATCAAAGTTGTAATAGATAACGAGGTACGGACGTGTTTCTCATAGATCAGCTAACGTGTTTCTTGAATTGGTTTATGTCGCTATTGAGAAGGGTCGTTGGCCGAAACATCGTCTCATATAATTATTCTGTTAATGTCACGCGGTGTTCTTTTGCTATTTATATTTGTGCACCAGATCATGTTTTCTTATTTTTAAATTAAGCAGGGGTTATAAGGGCTAGGGAGGGGGGGAAGACGATCTGAGGGAGTGTTTGTTGAAGGGAGTTCCACAGTCTAGCACTGTCAGGGAAACATCTGATAATTGTGAGCCGCAGGATGGCGAGTGTGTGGGTCGATGGGTGGTTAAATTAGTGGGTGGATGGTTCAGCGAGTGGGTGAATGAGTGTGTAGGTGGTTGAGTGAGTGGGTGGGTGGTTGAGTGAGTGGGTGAATGAGTCGGTGGGTGGTTGAGTAGGTGAGTGGTTGAGTGAGTGGGTGGGTGAATGAGTGGGTGGTTGAGCGAGTGGGTGAATGAGTGTGTAGGTGGTTGAGTGAGTGGGTGGGTGGTTGAGTGAGTGGGTGGTTGAGTGAGTGGGTGGGTGGTTGAGTGAGTAGGTCGTTGGGTGAGTGGGTGGGTGGTTGAGTGAGTGGGTGGTTGAGTGAGTGGGTGGGTGAATGAGTGGGTGGTTGAGTGAGTGGGTGAATTAGTCGGTGGGTAGTTGAGTAGGTGAGTGGGTTAGTGAGTGAGTAGTTGAGTGAGTGGGTGGGTGGTTGAGTGAGTGGGTGGTTGAGTGAGTGGGTGAATGAGTGGGTGGTTGAGTGAGTGGGTGAATGAGTCGGTGGGTGGTTGAGTAGGTGAGTGGTTGAGTGGGTTAGTGAGTGGGTGGTTGAGTGAGTGGGTGGTTGAGTGATTGAGTGGTGGAGTGGGTGGTTGAGTAAGTGAGTGGGAAGTTCAGTGAGTGGGTGAATGCGTCGGTGCGTGGTTGAATGAGTGGGTGGTTAAATGAGTGGGTGAATGAGTCGGTGGGTGGTTGAGTAGGTGAGTGGTTGAGTGGGTTAGTGAGTGAGTAGTTGAGTGAGTGGGTGGGTGGTTGAGTGAGTGGGTGGGTGGTTGAGTGAGTGGGTGGTTGAGTGAGTGGGTGGGTGAATGAGTGGGTGGTTGAGTGAGTGGGTGAATGAGTCGGTGGGTGGTTGAGTAGGTGAGTGGTTGAGTGGGTTAGTGAGTGGGTGGTTGAGTGAGTGGGTGGTTGAGTGAGTGAGTGGTGGGGTGGGTGGGTGAGTAAGTGAGTGGGTAGTTCAGTGAGTGGGCGAATGCGTCGGTGCGTGGTCGAGTGAGTGGGTGGTTGAATGAGTGGGTGGGTGAGTGTGGTGGATGAGACGAAACAGCCAGTTGCGGTGTAGAGCGAGTCCTCAACATGGGTGGAGGAATCAATGAGTCAAGCCGGAGTCACGCACCCTGCATACGTGTCTGATAACACTAGCCACGTGTTATTCCGAACCTCAAAGTCGATTACCCTATCTTGCGATCTAATTCCTAACCTCCACTCGAAACGAGTGCGTGTCATCTTGCAATGTTTCGGTTTTGCTTAATCGATTCTTGGCCTGTTTATTATTTCAATTTAAATACAGCACGCGGCAGGTTATACATTCACTTATTATTATTATTTTTTTCACCTACGTGATTTTACCGAAAGAAGCAAAGAGTATGGGTCCTTGCAGTCACGAAAACTTCAAATCGAGAATTCCTCCTATCCATTTGGGCAATTATTTCTCAACAAATATGAAAACACAAACCGTTGTCTGTCCCGCACGTTTACTACAGAAGACATTATCATTTAAAGCTTTCGTGACTGCAGTAATTCATATTCTTAGCTCTTTCGGTAAAGGCACGTTGAAGGGAAACAATAAAATAATAAAATATATATAAACTAATAAAAACAATAAATATTCTCATGACGTTTCGACCATAACACAAACGGTCATCATCAGGCTTTTCACGCCTGATGATGACCGTTTGTGTTATGGTCGAAACGTCGTGAGAATTTTTATTGTTTTATATACATATTTCATTATTTTATTGTTTCCCTTCAACGTGACTTTACCGAAAGAGCTAAGACTAAGACATTATCAATTAAGTGCGGGGGGGGCGGGGCATCTATTTCCATGGCAATAAAAGAGGGCCGAGGGGGGGGGGCCTTAAACCCCCAACTCAACCAGCCAATAGGAGTGTCCGTTGACGTAGATTGTAAAACCCAACACGGATAAACACCCCCCCCCCCGTCCGCACCCCCTCATGCGACGCGTCGACTTCCCCCATTGGCTGGCGGGGTCCAAATCGTTCGGAGGCCGCCCGCTTAAGCGCGCTGGGAAATGCAAAGGGAGCGGAGTTCGCGGACTTGCGCCGCCTCGCGAAGGCTGAGGCGGCGATGTGGAAGTTTCAGGTGAGCGCCTTCTGTCGAACGAACGCCGTCGTTTTTCAACGTTTCGCGTCGCGACCTGCTCGCTGACTTCCACAGTCAACCCCCACCCCCCCCCTCACCCCCCCCTCACCCCCCCGTAGCGGATGACTGTGGACGTCGAGGAAGCTGTAACGTGTTGTTGTTGTTGTTACAGTGCGCGTACAAACAAAAAAGATAGCCCGTGTGTCGCCTGTACAGACTGTAGGGGCAAGTGCTGTTAGCGAGCAGCGCCTACGAGGGGGGTGGGTGGGCCAACATCACGCCCGGTCGTCTTTGTCTTCCCCAGTGGCGATGTTTACACATCGCACCGGGTACTCGTTTTGAGGCCGAGTCGACCTAGGGGAGGCCCAGGACCGGTTCAGATAATCGTCACCGGTGCTGGCCGTGAGCGGGAATCGAACCCGGATCGCCAGGTTCGTAGCGCAACGCGCTAACCGCTACACTACCGCTCACCAGTGACCCACCCACGCATCCACCACCCACCCACGCATCCACCACCCACCCACGCATCCACCACCCACCCACGCATCCACCACCCACCCACGCATCCACCACCCACCCACGCATCCACCCACCCACGCATCCACCATCCACCCACCCACCACACACACCCACCCACCACCACACCCACCCACGCATCCACCACCCACCCACGCATCCACCACCCACCCACGCATCCACCACCCACCCACGCATCCACCACCCACCCACGCATCCACCATCCACCCACCCACCACACACACCCACCCACCACCACACCCACCCACGCATCCACCACCCACCCACACATCCACCACCCACCCACGCATCCACCACCCACCCACGCATCCACCCACCCACCCACGCATCCACCCACCCACCCACGCATCCACCCACCCACCCACCCACGCATCCACCCACCCACCCACGCATCCACCCACCCACCCACCCACGCATCCACCCACCCACCCACGCATCCACCCACCCACCCACGCATCCACCCACCCACGCATCCACCCACCCACCCACGCATCCACCCACCCACCCACGCATCCACCCACCCACCCACGCATCCACCCACCCACCCACGCATCCACCCACCCACCCACGCATCCACCCACCCACCCACGCATCCACCCACCCACCCACCCACGCATCCACCCACCCACCCACGCATCCACCCACCCACCCACGCATCCACCCACCCACGCATCCACGCATCCACCCACCCACGCATCCACCCACCCACCCACGCATCCACCCACCCACGCATCCACCCACCCACCCACGCATCCACCCACCCACGCATCCACCCACCCACCCACGCATCCACCCACCCACGCATCCACCCACCCATCCACCACCCACACACCCACCACACACACCCACCACACCCACCCACGCAGCCACCACCCACCACACACACCCACGCATCCACCACCCACCACACCCACCCACGCATCCACCACCCACCCACTCACCCACGCATCCACCACCCACCCACCCACGCATCCACCACCCACCCACGCATCCACCACCCACCCACCAACGCATCCACCCACTCACCCACGCATCCACCACCCACCCACCCACGCATCCACCACCCACCCACCCACGCATCCACCACCCACCCACGCATCCACCACCCACCCACCAACGCATCCACCACCCACCCACGCATCCACCACCCTCCCACCCACGCATCCACCACCCACCCACGCATCCACCACCCACCCACCCACGCATCCACCCACCCACGCATCCACCACCCACCCACGCATCCACCACCCACCCACGCATCCACCACCCACCCACCCACGCATCCACCACCCACCCACCCACGCATCCACCACCCACCCACCCACGCATCCACCACCCACCCACGCATCCACCACCCACCCACGCATCCTCCACCCACCCACGCATCCACCACCCACCCACGCATCCACCACCCACGCATCCACCACCCACCCACGCATCCACCACCCACCCACGCATCCACCACCCGCACCCACCATACCCACCACGCGCACCCACCCACGCACCATACCCACCCACGCACCATACCCACCCACGCACCATACCCACCCACGCACCATACCCGCCCGCACGCACCCACACGCACCCACACGCACCCACACGCACCACCCACACCCACGCACCACCCACACCCACGCACCACACACACCCACGCACCACACACACCCACGCACCACACACACCCACGCACCACACACACCCACGCACCACACACACCCACGCACCACACACATCCACGCACCATCCACACATCCACACACACACCACACACCATCCACATTCACACACCCACCACACGCACCACACACCATCCACATCCACACACCCACCACACACACCACACACCATCCACATCCACACACCCACCACACACACACATCCACCACACACACACATCCACCACACACCCACACACACCCACCACACACACCCACCACACACACCCACCACACACACCCACCACACACACCCACCACACACACACATACACCCACCACACACACACACCCGCACCACACACACACCCACACCACACACACACCCACACCACACACACACCGACACCACACACACACCACACACACACCCACCACACACCCACCACACACACACACTACGATGGTGATAAATTGACCCGTGCTGTATATAATTACAGCGCTAACTAATGCTCTTATTGCCTAACTTGGGATTGTTTTTGAAATGGCGGTGCTTTAAAATGCACGTGGGGTTTTTTTTTAGATGCTATAATCCGTCTGTGGTCGTTGTAAATTTGGTTGTTTTTGTAACTTGCTGAACCGGCGAAGTGAAGTATGGTCATGCTTACCATCGCTGTCAAACCCATAGGGTTTACCCCGCATTCTTGTACGGGGAAATTGAGTTTTAAGGTCCATACGACGCACAGCCGTTTCGATACGGGCAACATTGTTTTTGTCTATTTGTTTGTGTTTCTCCCTTATGATGGGACTTTGTTAGATGAACGTTGAGATTTATAATGCAATGGTTTGTATAAGGTAGGGCAGCGATAAGGGCTTGAAAGTAATGTGAGTGTGGGCATCCACTTATCAAGCAAGCAGCATCAGCATGCAAGATCACAGACAGTAAGCGTGATAAGTAGCATCATTAACATAACTTTTGTCTTTTGTATTTCTCCCTTGTGATGGGACTTTGTAGGTTGAGCGTTAAAATTTACAAGGGGCACGGGGTGACCAATGAAGTATGAATTGGTCTGTAATAAGATTGGCACTGATAAGGGTTTGGCAGCTATGCATTACCCCTCGCAGCCACGAGCCAGCATGGCATTACGAGGGCCCCCATTTAGCAGCGCTTTGAAGTATGTTCAAACTACTCCCGTGAGGTACAGGGCATGGGGAGGCCTTCATCTAGCAGTGGATTGTCAAAATGGGCTATAAATCATTATGTGCCCCTGACTGTGACCCTGACCCACTCACTGACCGTTATCCTCACCATATAACCCTTCACATGACTTAACTCTGAACCAAACCCTTAGCTTAACCCCAAGCCTAACCCCAAAACCCAAATGTCAAATATTCCTTTTTCTAAAACCATCGGTGGAAGTTCCACATTCGCGTGACGGGAGCCAGTTGGAGCACTCTTAATCATGTTATTGGGGCCCTTAGCGAGATGAAGGGCTTAACTTGACCGTGGCCGAATTAATTAAATAGTTTCCCCTCGACTGCCTTAAATTACTTGTGCGGAATTTTCCACCAAATAACATATGACTGAGTCACCAGGGAATGTGCCTAATCTCAACACATCTCGGAAGCTAAATACTGTTGAGCTTTCAATAAAATTATTGGGCGATCACCGTGCACAGCGTGGGTAAGTTTGTTAAAAACAAGCGCCCGTGACTGCCACGGCGTGGGCGAGGCCCTCATCCAGCAGTGCCTCTCACTGGCCATAATCCTGACCATAGCCCGAAACCTGATCATGACCCTAACTTTAACTGTGTCACCTAACCCTGACTCTAACCCTGTGAAATCAAAAGTCATATCTCCCTTCCTAGATCCATTGGTGGTAATTTCCACATTCCAACGGCAGGGGCCAGAATAGCCATACTTGTACGTGTTGCTGATCCCAAATTTGTATCCAGACAGTCGCTTAAATCTCATCCAGTTTGTAACTAATTACGCAGAAGTGTTCTGTGAGGGTTGGAAATCTAAAAGTCGACACAAATATAGTTGTGTTTAAGTAGACTGATCCAAAAAAAATGTTTTTTTTCATTTGGACCCCCCCCCCCCCTCACACAATTTCCTAACAACAGTTATAAAATTCCAGCTTGAGTGGAATGTGTAGTCACCCATGACATTGTGGCATTAACAGATTTGGAATCTTGTGTTGACATGTAAACATTTCGGTAAAGTCACGTAGGTAAAATAAAATAAATGAAAACAACTCAATTAAATCACGACGTTTCGGAGGCAACACAAGCTTCCGTCTTCAGGTGGAACAGTCACAGCAGAATAGCTGTATTAAGTGAAGAGCTCTGAGATACCCGAGATTATATATACAGGTTAAGGGGGGGGGGAGCCAGGAAGTGACGTGGGTGGGGGGGGGGCTAAGTTAAGCCGCCTTTCGTTATGCTGCAGGGGGTTCGGGGGAAGCGATGGCGCGCTGCACGAGAGCGAGTACAAGCCACTGGAAGAAACGGAAATGGCTGTACAATTATAAGGCAGCTAAATTCACCATGGAAGTGGAGAAAGATGGCAAGCTGACATTCTTGGATGTTCTGTTTGAGAGGAGGCCTGATGGCTCTTTGGGAGCCATCAGGCCTCCTCTCAGCACGCCATCGCTTCCCCCGAACCCCCTGCAGCATAACAAAAGGCGGCTTAACTTAGCCCCCCCCCCCACCCACGTCACTTCCTGCCCCCCCCCCTTAACCTGTATATATAATCTCGGGTGTCTCAGAGCTCCTCATTTGATACAGCTATTCTGCTGTGACTGTTCCACCTGAAGACGGAAGCTTGTGTTGCCTCCGAAACGTCGTGATTTAATTGAGTTGTTTTCATTTATTTTATTTTACCTACGTGACTTTACCGAAAAAAAACAAAGAGTATGAATCCTTGCAGTCAGGAAAGCCTCAAATCTAGAATGTAAACATTTGTACGTGTGTGTGTGTGGGTGCACGGTCGTTTTGTGCTCGATCACCTTAAAACAACCTCTGTGTGGCTGTAGGGGTGGAAAAAAACAGTGACTGTTATATGGTATATATCAGTTGACCTTGTGGGCAGCAGCTAGATCGATTGTTGGCTTTTGTCCAGCAGTGGATCGAGCATGGCTGGTGATAACATTGACGGGTGCCAGCGGCTGTACAGTGTTTAGCGCATTGTGTTACGTATCTCAGCGACCTTGGCTCGGTTTGTCAGCAACGGCCAACATCAGCGGTGAGTGATATCGGAATTTGTCCTGGGCCTCCCCTGTGTTGCCTCGGCCTGAAATGACCACTTGGTGGGGTGTGTAAGCATCAGCACTGGGGAGATAAAATGTTGCTGGGCATGGTGCTGGCCACACTGCTGTTCCGGCCTTAATAGGTGCTCGCTAACAGCACTTGCTCGTACGGCTTGTAGTAGCTACATGGGAGATCTTTATCTTTGGAGTGATTGTGCTGTGGCTTGAGCACCCTCTGCTACAATCGGCAACCCGAGTTCGATTCCTGGCCACGTGGCTAGTTGATGTCTGAAACTGGCCTTTGCTGGATCAACTCTGCCTACAATCAGTACTTGCTGCCACGTGATTTTGAACATCGGCACTGGGAGAGACAAAGGTGACCTGGTACCTGCGTGGTCCTTGACTTTCTATCTTCTCGCCGTCTCTTTCCCTGAGGGTCCTATAACGTTGCTCAATTCAAGAAATGTGTTCTTATCTGCTGTCAGTGTTCTTAGTTGTTGGCCACTTTGCAGGCCTTTGTGCCTGTGTTCATGAAATTAACTAAACGCATGATTGCATACTGTACATGTGTGTTTGTTTTGGTTTGTTGCGCATGTGTGTGTTTGTGAGAGTGATGCAGTGCCTATGTATGTGTATTTATGGGGTAGAGTGTTGGCATAGTGGTTCGTGTGCTGCGCTTAGTAACCAACTACCTGAGCTCGCTTCCCGGCGATGGCTATAATATCAGTGGTGAGTGATATCTGAACCTGTTCTGAACCTCTCCCCTACATTGACTCATCCTGAAGTGAGTACCTAGTGCGGTGTTCATGCAGCACTGGGGAGACAGATGATGGTCGAGCCTGGTCCTGACCACACTGCCCCCTCGTGTGCCGTGCCGGCCTTCGTTGGTGCTTGCGAATAGAACTTGCCCAAAAAAAACTTGTGAAAGGCTACACGGGGGGGGGGGGGGGGGGGGGGTCTGGGACTCTTTGTTTATGTATGTGTGTGCACCTGTGACTGTATCATTGTTTAATCACAATGTATGTCTCTCTGTGTGTCTAACTGGTTCTACACACTCGCACACACACACACCTATGTTCTGCATCTTCTTCATCCACATCAGGACACTATTTACAGGGGTAGCAGAAAGCATTCACCACCTGTCAATTTTCATCGCTATAAAAGCCACATTTAACATGATATTTATTTTTTATTGTAGTCATCGGTGACCAGGTTGAGACCATCATCAACTCACTGCAGCGGCGCCAGCTGAGCGTCTCCGACACGGCCCCATTGTGAGCCTCCTGGGCCACCCAGCCAACCTCTGTACACACGTGCTTGTGCGTGCACCCTTCCCTCTCTCCCTCTCGCTCGCTCGCTCGCCACACGCGCGTACGTGCGTCCATACAGGAAGGAGAGTGTGCGTGTTGGTGAAGGCCGAGGTCGTGATGGACATGATAGAGGATTACTACAGCAAGGAAGACGGAGGCTGGCAGGTAGGGACTTTATCGTTCACCTCCCATGTGAGTCGACAAATTTTTTTCACGATTCCGGGTAGCGTTGCGAGATGTTAACTACCTCGCCTGGTATGAATGAGGTTGTGGGTTTGATATCAACCCTGACGTCTGTATATTTGGAGTTTGCATGTTCTCCCCCGTGGTCACGTGGATTTTTCTCCGGGTCCTGCAGTTTTTCCTTCCACATGGCTGCTATTTCCACGTGATAAGTCACTTTGTTGAGGTATAATTTGCGGCCAGGTCGTTTCTGAAAAGGAGCTATATAGCTTCAGTGTGTCTTACCTGGTAAAATAAAAAAAATAGTTTATAGTTTTTCAAAAATATAAACCACTCATCCCTATGCCCCCCCCCCCCACTCACCCACCCCTTATCTCCCGCACCTCCCGCCTCCTGTTACTAAGGTTGGAATGCACAGAGAGATCACATGTCAACGTCGCTAGTCAACGCGATGTTAGCAAGGCAGTTTAACACGTCGGCTTTCGCGATCAGTATTATCCATAATACAGGTGTTTTGGGTTAGATCGCATAAATATAAATGTGTCGTTAAACCCGCCACCACCCGACACGGCTAATTAGTGAGGTTTGTCGCGTTAACAAAACATGCCAATTGGTTACTAGTTCAGAAACGCATTTGTATCACATTGCATGTTAGTGTGTTTTAATCCCTGCAATGTGGCGCTGACACCCCCCCCCCCACCATGCACATTCTAAAATCTCCCTGCACAGTATCCATGCCGCAAGCTGCGCTCCCGTTGAGACGGCAAAGGGCTTTCAGGGGTCCCGATCCACTGGTTGAGAAGCGCTACGGAATTAATTCCAAGTCGTGGATCGGAGATTCCCCAGCCCTGGTGTATATCGGGATAAACGGGGGTCTCTGTGTGTGTGTGTATATATGTCTGTTTATGTGTGTCGTGGGGAGCGACCAGGATTCAATTCCCACTCACGGAAAACACCAGTGACGATTATCTGAACCGGTCCTGAGCCTTACCCTAGGTCGACTTGGCCTCGAATGAGTACCTGGTGCGGTGTGTAAACATTGCCACTGGGGAGACAAAGAGTCGGTCGGGGCGTGGTCCTGGCTACCCACCCCTTCGTGTACCGTGCCTGCCTTCGTAGGTGCTACTCGCTAACAGCACTTGCCCCAACAGTCTTGTTAGGCTATAGGGGGGGAGGGGGGGATCTTTATCTTTCTCTTTATGGGTGCAATTCCCTATCCAGGTGGTGAATGTGAAGAGCAATCCCAACCGGCAATCTCACGGGGCAGCCCCGGATCCGGAGGGTGAGGTCCTGAGGCCCCTCCTGATTGGCCAAAGCAACGTCCTGCAGCAGTTCCACGTGGAGCAGGTGGGTGTGAAGAGTCCCAAGTTGACAGGCCACAATCAGGGACGCAGTCCTAATGGCGATGCTGGTGATTGGGCCGGCAAAGGCGCAGTCCCTACAGTTGCCTGGCTCGCGCCACTGCTGGCGGAAGGGCCTCTACTTGAGGGAGCTCTCGAGAATATTTGGGTGATCGGGAATTGATTGTTAATAGGTTTTAACAAGTGCTCGTTAACAGGATTTTACCCCGACGGTCTAAATACCATACACCGGGGCTAATAGTGTACGTATGAGAGTGTGTGGGAGCAGTAGCGTAATGTGCAGTGCTACGAACACTGATTTCGATTCCCGCTCACGGCCAACACCATTTGACGATTATCTTAACCGGTACTGGGCCTCCCCTAGGTCGACTCGGCCTCAAATAAGTACCTGGTGCGATGTGTAAACACTTCGCCACTAAGCAGACAAAGGCGTCCGGGCGTGGTGCTGGCCACCCACCCCCTTGTGCGGCCGTGCCGGCCTCCATAGTTGCTCGCTTTAGAAGCACTTGCCCCAGCAGTGGGTTAAGGCTGTACGGGGGATCTTTGCCTTTGTGTGGAGCAGCTCTCGCGCCACTTGCCCCCACGCACTGTGGGTTACCCGTGGCAACTCAAGTACGGGACGGCAACGCACGGCACAAGCCTGCGCACGCTTTACCGCGCGCTGGCGCCGCTCAGCTCGCCCGTCCTGCTCACCGTGCAGGACACACACAAGCAGGTGTGTGTGTGTGTGTGTGAGAGGCGGGACACAAGCACGTGGGTGTGTGTGTGTGTGTGAGAGACGGGACACACACAAGCAAGTGGGTGTGTGTGAGAGACGGGACACAAGCACGTGGGTGTGTGTGTGTGTGTGAGAGACGGGACACACACAAGCAAGTGGGTGTGTGTGAGAGACGGGACACAAGCACGTGGGTGTGTGTGAGAGACGGGACACAAGCACGTGGGTGTGTGTGAGAGACGGGACACAAGCACGTGGGTGTGTGTGTGTGTGTGTGAGAGACGGGACACACACAAGCAAGTGGGTGTGTGTGTGTGTGTGAGAGACGAGACACACACAAGCAAGTGGGTGTGTGTGAGAGACGGGACACACGCAAGTGGGTGTGTGTGTGTGAGAGACGGGACACACGCAAGTGGGTGTGTGTGTGTGAGAGACGGGACACACACAAGCACGTGGGTGTGTGTGTGTGTGTGTGTGAGAGACGGGACACAAGCAGGTGGGTGTGTGTGAGAGACGGGACACAAGCAGGTGGGTGTGTGTGAGAGACGGGACACACGCAAGTGTGTGTGTGTGTGTGTGAGAGACGGGACACACACAAGCAGGTGGGTGTGTGTGTGTGTGTGAGAGACGGGACACACACAAGCAAGTGTGTGTGTGTGAGAGACGGGACACACACGCAAGTGGGTGTGTGTGTGTGTGTGAGAGACGGGACACACACAAGCACGTGTGTGTGTGTGTGAGAGACGGGACACACACAAGCACGTGTGTGTGTGTGAGAGACGGGACACACGCACGTGGGTGTGTGTGAGATGGCCCTACCGCGCTGGTTAATCCTAACAAGGGTGAAAACGTGTAAGTTAAGTCCTCGCTTTAACACGCGGTGTCCACACTACTAACGCATTTCGCTGTTACGCGGTTCTTCCATTGGGGAGCACTTTTTGCACAACGCGTAAACGTGCCCCGTTACAACGCGGACCGTGCACCGTCATAACACAGAACGCATCCCGTTATGACGTGGAACACGCCCCATTATAGTGCGGAACGCGCACGGTTATAACGTGGATTCCGAGCAGTGGACAACAAACTACTTTCTTGAGCTGCGTGGTTGAGCGGTACAGTGATACAGTGCGTGGAATGATACGGTAACGCGGCGGCGGCGGCGGCGTGCCCTCGGTAATTTGCCTCTCGCCATCTGTGTGCGCGTAGTAAATCGTAAAACCACAGTGTTACATTATCTATTGGGAAATAGTTTTCGCCTTCCGCGTGTTTCGCTGAGCGCGGCATTCGTACAGGAACGCGTCTGTGAACCGCGTTCAATGAGGGCTCGCTGCTTGCTGTTCTCTCGTTGTCCTCCGACCACAATTTTGGCTTCTCCGGAGTCGGCGGTCTCAAACCAAGGCGGCACCACGTGCAACGCGGTGATGCTTTACGCACGCGGCGCACACAAGGTCACGATGGGAGATCGCGGATCTTGCTCTGTTGCAGGTGTTTGGGGCCTTGGCCTCGGAGCCGTTCAAGGTCAGCGAACATTTCTACGGGACCGGAGAGTGCTTCCTGTTCACCTTTAACCCCGACCTCAAGGTGAGGTTCATTGAGCTGCGTGGCTAGTTTTGAGAAGCGGCATTGGCCTCAATTGATGGTTCAGCGAAGTGGATTATCGCGTGAGAATGTTTAGCAGCCAAATGCTCTAAAACGCGTGATGTTTATTGTAAATGTGGAGGGGAAAACCGGAGGACCTGGAGAGAAAAACACACATCCACGGGGAGAACATGCAAACTGCAAATACACAGGCGTAGGGGTTGGGATGGGATGCCTTACGAACCCGAAGAACCCGAATTGAATTCCCGCTCACGGCCAACATCGGTGATGGAATATCTGAACCGGTCCCGGGCCTCCCCTAGGTCGACTCGGACTAAAAATGAAAACCTGGTGCGGTGTGTAAAACATTCGCAATGGGGTGTGGGGGAGACGCAAGCCACCGGGGCGTGGTGCTGGCCAGCCCAACCCACTCGGGTGCCTTGCCGGCCTTCGTAGGTGCTGTTTGCAAAAACAGCACTAGCTCTCAGCAGTCTGTTGAAGGCTACACAGGGGAGGTGGTCCTTTGCCTTTGTCGTTTAGGTTTACCGCTGGACCGGAGATAACACGTTCTTCATCAAGGGGGACCTGGATTCACTGGGGATGGGAAGTGGAAGGTGAGGGAGTCTTGGTGTTTTATTATTCTCACTCTTGTGTTACACAATTGTGTCCCAGTCTGCCTGTGCCCATGCCTTCATGTCATACAATGTGTACATCATCGAAGTGCATTCGCATCTCTGGACGCTTTACAGGTTGGAGTAAATTAGTTTTAGCTTATTTGATTTGCTGCACGGATGGTGATCCCGTTTAGCCAGTTTCCGCAGCTATTTCACACGGGAGAGGACACCCAGAAAAAAAAGACAAACACCGTCAAGATTGCAGAGAACGAGTACAGGGTCCTTAAGCGACTGCACCACGGTGGAAGGAAGGTAAAGGGGGGGGATGGAGGAGTCAGGGCAGGGAAACGAGAGAGAGCAACACCTTTGTACAGCTTGGGTCAAAGCAAACGGGGCCAACGGGACCAGCAGCTCGCTCATCATCCCCTCTGCCCCCGTCCCCCTTCCCCCGTCCCCTCTCCCAGGGGAGCGTTTGGCCTGTGGCTCGACTCGGACCTCTACCACGGGCGCAGCCACCACTGCGACACGTTCGGCAACGCTCCCCTCTCCACGCAGGAGGACTTCTCCGTGAACCAGCTCGAGGTGTGGGCGTTCCTGTGACGGGCGCAATCCTTGCTCCGATCGGGCCCCGACGCCCTTGGACTCTCCCGTGCGCCCGCTCGGCTGTTGCCGCACACAGGACCACGCCACTGCAGTGGTGCAGTGTGGGGGCGGGCGGGGGGGGGTGGCGGGAAATGGGTGGGTCGGTGCATTATCTAGTTAGCTTATATAGTCAGTACGATGTATTGTCGGTGAGTGACTGAATGAATGGCTGATGCTTCACCAAGTTCTCAATGGCCTAAAGCCACAGACCGTTCTAGTGAATGGTTTTGAGGTTACTAAGTCCGTGCGCATACATATACGTACAACAACAACAATACAACTACAATGACGGAACAACAATAACAGCTGCCGTTCACCAGGCAGTGGGGGGGAACATCACCACAGCACTTGTGCAAGGCTCAGTGAAACTTTAGGCCACTTGAATACATACGTACAAAGACAACGATTACCGCATTACAGGATTTTGGGACAAGTGCTCTTATCGAGAACCTATTAAGGCCGGCACGGTAATACGAGGGGGTGGTGTGGCCATCACTACGCCCGGCCATTCGTGATGTTTACGCACCAGGTACTCATTTGAGGCTGATGCAACCTAGGGGAGAGCCCAGGACCGGTATAGATAATCGTCACTGTTGTTGGTGGCCATGAGTAGGAATCAAACTCGGTTCGCCGGGTTCGTAGCACAGCGCTACACCACTGCTCCCCACACTTTCCCATACATACGCACACGCACGCGCATGCGTGCACAGGTACAATTGAAACGCGTAGATTCCCGTGTCTACATATACGCACAAAGCAGATACACATGTGCCTACAAACATATGTTATACTTTATATGTAGCCGATAGTTAATAACGATACTTCTAACCATAGGTTAGATCAACTAGACTTTAAAAAAATATATTTATTCCAGCGAGTGATGGTGTTATGAGATGCTTCTATAACCGTAGGTTAGAACAACTAGACTTTAAAAAAAAATGTTTGTTCCAGCGAGTGGATGGCGTTATGAGTCGAGCAAGCAGGTGGGCGAGTGATAGTAGTGGCTGCTAATCGATGAATATATAAACGTCGATTAACATTTGCTGATGGGTAGCGAGCAGGGAGTTGTGATCCAGGGGTCACCGGGTCAAATTGACCTCCCAGTGCGACGGTTGAAACAATGGGACAAGTGTTTTCCTTTTCTTCAGTCGTCCCCCGACCTCGGTTCGCTCAGAAGTGTGTGAACGGGTTTCACCAGAGTTAGTCGATTGGCAGGTCACGTGCGGTGTTGTGAAGTTTGGGGTCCTCCCATCTCTCCTCAGACGTCGGACCTGTATGGTAGAATAGGCCGAGAAATACCCTCCATAGTGGCTGTGGAAGAGGGTTTGTTGGCGTTTAGCGCCCGTGGGTTGGAGAGTGAAGCGTTTAGTTGACGCAGTATTATTTTTTTCAATTATATTTTAATTCCAAATTTTCTTCTCAGCTTTGTGGCACCAGACGGGGAGCATCTGTGTGGAACTCACAGAGCAGGGCCTCGCCCCCCCCCCGCCTTCCCCCACCCCGTGTGTTAGGGCACAGCCAACAAGAAGGGAATATTTTGCAAAAACCCGAGATCATTTCAAGTGGCCGCACGCTTTCCTGCCACGCTTTTTTTTATTTTGTTTCCGTGTTGAGCGCAGAATCCACATTGGACGCGAAGCTTTTGACACCATCAGCTCGTTAACTCTTGGGTACGGTGAACTACAGTATCCATAATAAAGGTTTTTTTTGGGTTAGATCCCGTCAATATAAAATGTGTCATTGAACCCGCCAACCGCCCAACATACAGCCAATTAGTAAGGGTTTGTCACGTAAACAAAACGTGCCAATTAGTGACTAGTTCAGCACACACTGGTTGTGTGTGCTGGAGAGTAAACCCACAACATTTACAATTCTGATACAGTGATGTTTCGCCGATAATTATAACCAGCCTCATCAGGCGACAACCAGAATTGCGCGGAAATCCTCCTGTTTCGGTCTTAGAGGGATAAATGCTGTGTCATCACTTGTGAGCCAAGCAATTGCTGAAGACCAGAGCGGGAGGGTTAATGTATGCATATAAATTACTATGGATGTCTGTTATTGGTTGGGTTATTAACAGTTAATCAGCATACGTAATGTTTGTATATTGTGTGTACATTATGTATGTACATTAATCCGTTTTTATTTTGGGTCCAAAAATCTCAATACCTGTTATTGGCTTCTCACCGCCACCAGTGTTAAACCAAGCTACAGTATTTTTTACAGTGGTTTTATTTTATTTTACCAGGAAAGGCCCACCCAGTTGTGTCGCTCTTTTTTCTAAGAAGCGACCTAGCCATCACAAATTATAGCTCCAAGGAAGTGGCTCATAATGCAGACATTTAAAGCAGCCAAAAATGCTCTTAAGCACACATTGATTCTAAAATGTGGAGGGAAAACCAGAGGACCTGGAGAACAATCCACGTGGCCACGGGGGGAGAGAGAGAGAGAGAGAGCGAGAGGCAAAAACTCCAAATATACAGCAGCAGGCTTAAGGGTCGGCATCGAACCCACAACCTCCTGTACACCAGGCGAGGAAGATGACATCTGGCCAATGCGGCAGCCAAAGCCCAGAATCAGACCCCAGATGCCATCGGTGGCAGCCCTACAGAATCGGAATATTTATACTGGTATGAATCCAATGAGCTTATTAAGCTCTTTTTTTTTTTCCCACAGATGTCCAGTCGTACGTTCGGAGGCCTGAGCCACCCGAAAAGTCGCGCTATTTACCAGCCATCAAAGCGATCAAAGCTTCGTTCCAGATTTGGGCCAACTTCATTTTTGTACGACAGACAACGGGGCGACGACCGCCTTAAAAGTTGCCACGGTTACGCAGTCGCAGCTCTTCGTTACGTGGAACGCACACGCACACACGTGTACGCACACACGTGTACGCGCACACACGTGTACGCGTACACACGTGTACGCACACACGCGCACCGCGATCTTAATTCGAATCGCCTCTATTAACGCAGACAGCTTAATCTTAGTTTGTTGTCGTTCCCTCGCACCTCCGCCGATTCTCGCTGTTGGATACGTACGGTGCGAAAGAAATTTCAACATACACGAACATAATCGCTTACCGCGTCACGTGGGGACGTGTGTAACAATCATCGCGCGCGTGCGGCGTGCACCGAGTTGATTCGAATGGGAGGAGTCGATTGGTAAAAGCGGAAAGACGGAGCGTGGGTTTGGGGCGGAGGATTACGAGGGCTTGAGTTTGGGAAACCGTGGCGTTGGGGGAATGTGACCAATAGGTGGTGCTGCACGACCCCCCACCCCTTCCATTATACACGTGGCCATAAAGAGCCAATCGAAAGCGAGAGCCGTACATTTAGCTCGCTGCGAGAAAAGGGCAGGAATTGGTGTGGTGGTGGGAGGTGGAAAGAGCTGAACATTCGTTAACTCGTTTTCACTGAAACTGAAAGGGAATTGTGATTTAAGCATTGGTGGGAAAAGCTGAGCAGCGCCGCAACTCCTTTTATTTTAGCTTTGAACATTTGCTTCATTATTTTCCCCCCCCCAATGTTATCCCGATTTGTCGCTTTCGGCGTTACGTCGTCAGTGGCACCTCTCCGTGTTGGGGAGCTGCCCCCGCGGAAAGCGGACACCTGGGAGCTACTGCTGGCAGTCGTAGCGACCCCCGGCCCACGTGGGAGACTGACCGCGATCGCTATCCCCACTGCGCTGTGCATGCGAGGGTGATGTCTGTCGCGTGGCAGCCCACACCCGTATATGAACTGCAACGTAACCAAATCACGCACGCAACGTCTTTTCGACGCGACGGTAGCAAAAGGCTTTTTGCCGCACGATTACATTTCAGAGCGTCGCTCGCTCCCCCCCCCCACCGCACGCGGGTGGGTTCACGGTCCTTCGCCGTAGAATTTTGCCCGTGTTGGCCGTGAAGTCGGTTGTTGTCCACCGTCCCGGTTCGCGTTCGGTTGCATCGTCGAGACGATCGGTTTTTTTGTGTTTTTGGTTGCGATTTGAATTCCCTGAGGGTCTTATTTTTTTCCTTTTTTTCCCCCTTGCCTTCCCGTAACCCTGGCATTGCCGGTGTGCAGCACGCCTGCGTCGCTTGCGCGGAGTGACATTTCCGTAAGAAACATTCTAAATAACATCCATTCCACGTCCCGTCTCGTACTGCCAGCAGTCGCCTATTTCAGAGAGCAGAAGGGGCACGCTCGAAATCCAGCACTTGGGAAGGCGTGGCGGGTATCGGTGGTACCCACACAAATTCGTTAAAACTCGCCGGTCGGAATCGAGTTGAGTGATGTCCATCTGTTACGGGGATTTGAGCGATAGCCCCATCGCACGCGTGGGATTTCTCCGGGGGGTATTCTTGTGTTCCATGCGTATGGAAACGCTCATTAACCCCTTTCCCGTTAACCCAGACGTCCTGCAAGTTGCAGGGTGGGCGGGCGGACGTCTCGTTCGCCGCGCCCAGCCCCGCAACGCGCGAGCGGCTCTGCGTTAATTCTACGAAGAGGGGCGTAGTAGTGCCGCTGTGTTTTTTTATATATATATAAAGACGTCGTACTGTACTCGCAGGCAGAGAGAAACGTGGCGACACGATAGCTGGCGCCAAAACTATGCCACTCGCCCTCCCGCATGGACCTCTGATTCTATTGGGAATCGGTTCGGTTTCTGGGGACGTAAACGTGCGTAGCCGGAACGGAAACCGATGACGTACACAAAAGGGTTAGTGGAGTTGGCCAAACATCCCAATGTAGGGCCACAGAACTTGGGCAATTGTCGGCGCCGGTTCTGGCTGCCTTCCTCCGCTCATCTGTGGTTGCCCGCGCCTCTGAGTAAAGCTTTACTCTAGGAATCATTCTCTACAGTATGTACGTATGTTGAACTTCTTTTTCCACCGTACATGGCCAACTGTGCTAATCTATTAATAATTCGTGACTCGAAATGAACCATTCTCTACTCTATGAATCATTCTCCACTCTGAGAAAGAGAGAGAACGCAAAAAACTGTGCACGTGGCAAAAAGCCTAAATTATCTTACAAGTTCTTGGTTCTTTCGGTAAAGTCACGTAGAATGGAAATAAAATAATGAAATAAAATAATAAAATTCTCACGACGTTTCGGCCACAACACAAGTGGCCTTCTTCAGGTGAAGAAACAGGTCTATCAAGAAGACAGAACTTGAATGAACGCTGTTAAGCAAGGACAGTCCTTGCTTAACAGCGTTCATTCAAGCAAGGACAGTCCTTGCTTAACAGCGTTCATTCAAGTTCTGTCTTATTGATAGACCTGTTTCTTCAAATGAAGAAGGCCACTTGTGTTGTGGCCGAAACGTCGTAAGAATTTAATTCTCTTATTTCATTACTTTATTTCCATTCTACGTGACTTTACCAAAAGAACCAAGAAGATGAATCCCTGCAGTCACGAAAGCTTTAAATCGACATTTATCTTACAAGTTGTCTTTCGTACTGCACGGTGAGATTAACGACATGACGTGTGGATATAACATCGACCCCCGCCGTGCATTCGATAG